AAAAGTTTGGTTTGACTTCAGTTCAAAAGGCTTTATATACAAATAAATTAGACCTTAGGCCACCAATTCGAGCCCGTTCAAAGTGGTTGAGTCTCTCTAGTTGAGTTGCACTCCCACCAGGGTTCGAATCTATGTTGGTACCAAGTTTGGATTTTCTTTGTGTTCCAGTTGTGGCAAGCAGTCTTCACAGCGGATTTGGGCTCATTCTTGTGGAATTTCTTCGTACTCTTTGTTGGAAACATTCCCAGCGGATCTGGGCTTCTTTGTACCCTTTGATGGAAACCATTCCCAGCGGATCTGGGCTTCTTTGGACCACCCTTTGATGGTTGGAAACATTTCCAGTGTATCTGGTGATTATTCTTCCCGTAGTGGAAATTAAACATTCCCAGTGTATCTGGTGATCACTCTCTACCCTTTGTGGTACGACCCAAATATGAGGTAATCTAAATTACCTCTCTTTTTTACTATTTTTGAGAAAAAAATAAACCACTTTTGCTCATTTTACCAGTTGTCTCACTATAATTTCACAAATACAAATATTCACCAATAATCTCCACAAGAACAAGAACAATTACCATGCTTGAATAGAAGAAACCTAACCTATGAATATCTCTAGCGATAATCTCTCAACAAACTTAAACACTTGTGTGACAACTGACAATTCATACAGATTCTTATTAACCGTAATCGGAGCTTTTACTGGAATCACAATAAAACCAAAACGCAGCCGCAAGTTTTTCACTGTGATACAATTAAAATTCTTCTCCTTTGCACTTCTCACATGGAATATAATAGCCCGAAATAAGTGCAACTAATTAATTATTTCTGGTTCTGGAATCTTTAGTGAACCGAATTAAACCGGGAATTAAGATCTGGGTTAAAAGCTAATTTAAGTATTAAAAAATGGAACTACGAGCACCAATTCGGGTCCAGTAAAGGTGGTAATAACTCTGCATGCCTGCATGGAGAGTAGATTCCATCAGGGTTCGAGCATTCATATTGGTACGAATGGAGATGAAAGTTTGTTTCTCTTCATGGCTTTAAAAAATCACACCACAGGGACTAGGTAATCTAAATTACCTATTTTCTGAAATTTTGATAATTGATCCTAAGTGAACAAGAAATATCGATCTCTTTTTATTCGTCGTCGTTGATCATGGTTTGGTTGTTGTAACTCGGACAAAGACAAAGTTAATTTCTCATCTTCTTCAATTTGAAGCTAAACTTAGTGGATTCTTTGTGGGCAATTTAACACTAATTAAACAGATTCGAATGTTTTGCCAGTGGCTGTTTTGTCGACTCTGACACTAGAGAAATTCTTTTTCATTTTAATTTTTTTTTGGTGAAGAGAAGGATAAAAACAAAAAACGTTTATGTGGTGAAAGGTAGATCTTGTTAGGAATATCTAAATTGCTCTTGTCTTTAAACCTTACTAGATTAAAATGTTTTTGGAAATAGTGTTTTTCACGACGTCGACGCAATGTCCCTTAAACCCTCGAACTCAAATTGTTTGTGGTATGTGTGTGGAATTATTTAACGAACCGTTATAAACCGGGAACCGGTTATATCTAGCGTATAAGTACAATTAAATTAGAGTGTATAACACCAATCGAACCTGTTCAAAGTGGTTGTGTCTCTGACCACTCTTAAATATGCAACCAGGGTTCGATTGGTACTACTCAGCCCGATTCTTAAAAAGTCGTGGCTTGTCCTCTTCAACTTCTTCCCAGAGTTCTCGCTCTGTTGTTGTTTAATTTGACTCAACCAACATCACTTCTTTGAGGTAATCTAAAGGGAAATATGATTCTATAACCACAAAAAATTTAATAATTAAGAAACTAGCACCTAACAAAAATTTTGTTGATATTCTCTATATTTTATGTATAATCCCAGTTTTGCCCTTTCTCTCTCCTTAGAGTCTTCTTCCCCATCGATTCACCTTCACTTTCATATTATCACTATCTTTTTTTTTTTTTGCCAAGACATCATGAAAAAAGTGTGTGCAGTTCTTCCAACTCACATCCTTTCTCTTCGCTGAATCCAGTTTCATCACCAAGACTATGAATCTCCGATGGATCCAGCGTTGTGGTTGAGTTTCAGTGGCGAAATTCTCAATCTCGACGCCCATGAGCAATTGTTTATGAAAGTAAATTTTAGAAACATGCATTAGCTAATTGGTTTTTGAAATTGTTCATGATGAATAGTATTAACAAAATCTCACTGGAAATTCTAATGAGATTTGGCTAATAAATCGATTTTGATTTTCGGAGATTTTTGAGAGATACTATTCTATTTTGTGAGTATTATTTACGTTTATCTTGTACTATATGCGTTTAAATTGAATTGTTTGTTTTGATTAAAGGTGTTACTATGATATTGCATGTCATTGTCATGATAAGGGTGTTTTCATTGGCAAATCACAATATGTGAAATTGTAAATCATTAGTGTTTTGTTCTTGGTTTTTTTTTTGTCTAAACTATTTTTTTGTGTGTTCTACTTCTAAATAGACCAAATGTTTTAATTTGTAACCAATTTTCTATTTTGTAATAATTTATGTTCATTTTCAAAAATTCAAACCACTACGTAATCAGAAAAAAATCTATTTTTTTCAATATAGTTGGAAGTCTGAATCAGTTTATATTGAAGAGATTTTTTAGCAAGAAAATTTGATGGGGTGAAATACTATTATCGAAAAAATGAATTAAAAAAAAAAATCTGATGCAACGTACTAATCCCTTTTCTTTATACGTTCGTCACGTCAGCCCAATCTAATCTTTTCCACTGCGCGTCCAAAAGCAGCAACGAAGGAGTTTGTGGACATTTCATCTCCTATACATGTTACTTACTTAATTTTTGATTTTATGATGCTATATTCTTAAATACTTTATCAAAATTGGCTAGTTTTGCAAATGACCCTAATCTAAATTACCTCTTTTTTTTTTTTTTCCCAATTGTCCTAATGTCCATCGGATATCTACCATCTCTCTTAAACAAAGACAATGGTTTTTGAGGGGTCAGTCTCATGAGGTTTATGTTAACAAGTGGATCAGGGCTTATCATGAATACATCTCAACTGGAAACAATATACATAATTTTGGTAGTAGTTCATCTAAGTAAGAATCTTGAACCACAAGTTACATAAATATAGATCATTTTAATTAATGTGAATTAATACGAATTCTCATGCATTAAGTAAGACCTGCACGTCAGTCACATGAACATATCCAATTCTGCTCAAACACTCTCGTTCATCAAGCTTTCTGTTATAAATCTCTTTGCTCCTAGGATTAGTTCTGTCTCCGAAAAGAAATCGTATGTACTTTGTCTTTAACCTCAATCCAACTAACTCGTTCTTTCTTAACTCGAATCTCTCTCATTAACCTCCTAGTCTTCACTACTTCCTCACACATTCTCGCATCTGCGTAGATATCCGCTAAAAGCACGCGTGTTCCTGAATTTTCTGGCTCAAGAACCTTTACTAGCTCTGTAGCGAATTTCCCAAACTTTACGTTCTTGGGAATTTTTCCTAACCAAGAAACGCTCTCCATTTGTTGCATTTGATGGGATTCTCACTTTCACTCACAGGTTTGAACTCTCTATCTCTTTTGTTCTCTGTTTCAAGCACAAAACATTTTAGAGGCTTAGAGAGATAAACACTTGAATACTGCATTGTTTATTTGGATCTATTCTCTTGGATAGTTCTTACAAGACACACACACACACACACTTATACTACTTGATACCACTCAATTACTTGGACTCTAGACTTGGTAACTACTAGTACACTACTCTACTTTTTTTTCCCCTTCTGTACTAGTCTACTAGATATCCCTTTATACGCCAACGTAACAACTCCTAACAACTTTGCTTCGCTAGACATTAACCAACATGTTGGGCTAAATCTAAATTACCTCTCTTTTTGTATTTTTTTGATGTTGTTGCAAATCTGAAAAAGAGGATAATTTCTTTTGTACAAGATGAAGGATTTTGAGGTGTCTTTGAATTGAGTGAGATGACTAAAGAAAACGCAAATCTTCTGGTTCATGAATTTCGTCGAACCGTTTATGGGCGTAAATCTTGAATCTTTAGAGAAAATCCTAAAACTCAATCTTATGGGGATCGAATCTATACTACAAGAAGCAGACATCTGGAAGCCGAAGACGAGAAAGATTCAAGAGACTTTGACAAAACCAAGAGTGGAGTAAACCAAAACCCACAAGAACTAACATTGGACTCTTGTGGAACACAAAAAAAAAGGAACCGAACCAAACAAGTAAGATCAACACACTGATGTCAGATGATGAATCCATAATGATGGAAGTTGTAGTGTTCTTCAATTTGATACATTAGACTGGTGATGTGAAATCATTTGGCGAGCTGCGCGTGGCTCATACGCGCGTGACGATTTTCTCCAAAAATCTCCGCCGCTCGTTAACCTAGATCTATTGCGATTCTTGCCTCTCCGGTCATCGGCGCTCCTCGTCGTGACCGCGAGAGGGCCCCCGGTTACTCCGCCATGAGGGCTGGCTCTTCTCGGTAGGCGATTTGACGAGTTCGGCTCCGGAGCTTTTGTGGTTTTGATCTATCGGCGGCTCCACCTGTAGAAGAAAAGGCGTCGGCTTGCTTGTTTCCGACTGTTGTTCTCGGCGATTTCACCTCCCCGGTGCTCTCACGCATCCTCCGATTTGTTTGAGGACGGCAAATCTGATGTTGTGAGGCCCCTCACGGTGCTTTTTCGGCGGAGTCTTCGCGCTTCGTGGCTGTTGCGTAACTGCTTGATTTGCCTCAAGCGGTAGTTGGTTTCTTCTCCGGCAAGTGGTTTGGTAGAGGTGTGGACTTGCTTTGGTTTGCCTCTCCTTCCTGTTGGCGTGCGGCGGATCTTCTAGTGGTGGTGGTTTGGTAGTGCTCTGTTCTCTGTCAAACGTAGGAAGCTTTGGCTTTCTTTCTCTCCGATTCAACCGCTTGTCTTCACCCTCGGTGTCTTTTCTCCCGCCCCGTTGAAGTTGTCGTTGGTTTCCCTGGTTTATGCGCTTGCTCTGGTAAGCTTTGCCTCTGTCGAGTGTTTGTTGCGTTAGGCTAGGCTGTGTGTGCTTTGGAATCAACCTCCGGATGTTTCGATCTCTAGCTTCTGTTGTTTGAGGATGTTGACTGGTGCTCTCCGAGACTTGTTTTGAATCTGTAGTTAACTTGTGAGTTTCGACTTTGAGGGAGTTGTTGACTCTGCTTGATCATGGGTTTGAGGCTTCCCACCGTCGCGGTAGTCAATTCCATCTCCACGCATCTCATGGTCATGTCGCACTTGTTTCTGCTTTTGCACTCAAGTTTATTGCTTCCTTTGCCACAAATGTCAAAGCCTTTGCAGTTGCCTCTTCGGGTTAGTGTATCTAGTATCAAGCTTCGAAAATCCTTCAAAGTTCCTTTTGTGTTTGGTCTTGCGAGTTGGTGGTGCTAGTATGGTTTTATGCGGATGTGAAGTTGCTACGCTCCGTGCTACTGACTCCAGGAGGGACTTAGTAGAGTGAGTAAGCATTGCCTGCCTCATAAAGCTTGGTGGTTCCGCAGTCACATGTTTGTCTCGGACTATTCGTTGAACGGACTGCTTCCTTGCTTCTCGATCTTCCGCTTTGTTTCTTTGTATTTTTCATTGTTGTCTTCATTTCTAGATGCACTTTAGGGAAACGTTTTTATCTTGCATCAAGCTGTCTTCTACCATTATCATTATGTTAATGGTTTGAATTGATGATTTGGTGCAAGAAAGTGGTATGCTTCCATGTTTTTTATCATTTTTTTGGCATGGGACCATGTATTTGGTTATGCTTAATTGTGTAACTCAAACTTTCATTGTGAAATGAATATTTACATTCTTATCAAAAAAAAAAAAAAAAATCATTTGGCGAACCAGTCTAAACCGGAACCGTTCGATTTTGTTTTTTTTAGGGATAAATACAATTAAATTAGTGCTAATATCACCAATTTAATACTTTCATACGTGGTTGTGTCACTCGCTAAGTCTCACATGCCACCGGGGTTCGATTGGTACCTATTCGGAGACAAATAATTATTGATCCTTTGATTGTTCACCGTGAACGTAGAGGTAATTTAAATTACCTTTTCTTTATGTATCTTATATTCACAAGAAAAAAAATAGGCGAGCACAAATATCTTTTACAGTCACTTCAACCGTCGCGATTTTTGGTCGTAACTCTTTAAAATATATTTTTATTTAATTTTTAATTATTAAAATATTATATAATTTTTTTGTTATGGCTTAATTGAACCGTTGCAACATTTTTTTATTTTATGAACCATTGTAACGCTTAGTTTATTTGAAAAAAAAACCGTTACAACAACATCTAGTATATTTGATATTTTCAATTTAATACCTTACGCTGATGATGTGATATTATTTAGCGTACCGGTCTAAACCGGAGCTGTTCGATGTTGTTTTTAGGGATAATTATAATTAAATTAGAGCTCATGTCACCGATTCAATACTTTCCTATGTGGTTGTGTACTTGTGTCACCTAGCAAGTCTCACGCCACGGTGTTAGGATTGGTAATAAGTCGGTTGATTTGAATGCATCTCTACTGCAAAAAATATTGTTGTATTTACTGAGTTTCCATGTGGTCTTCTTCTTCTACATCAGAGTTATTCACTGATTTGTGGTGACTCTCTTTAGTCCCCGTGATTTTATCTAGATATGAAATTACGATATAGATAGATCATACCCTTCGACATCGTGCCAATGTTCTTTTAAAGTTATTCTATAAGCTAATTTTCTATTCCGATTCGTAATTTTTTAAGAAGATTTATTCAATAATTTTCTAGTTGCTTGTGTCACATGACATGCCACTTAGGTTCGAATGGGTACTTTCGTCGCTAGAGGTTATTCTCTGCTTAAATCGTTGGTTTAAAAATGAAATTATATGTTTTAAAAATCCTAATCTCATGAGGTTTATGTTAACTAAAATATATCTCTAGTGAAAACCGTTTACATGATTTTGGTAGTAGTCTCTTTCAAGAGATCATCTAAGAAAGAAACTTGAACCACAAGTTACGGTAGATATAGCTCATTTTAGCTAACGTCAATTAATATGTTACCTCACGCATTGAGTGAGACATGCACGTTATAGCAAATCGCAACGCAAGTTTTTCACTGTGATACAACAAAAGCTTTTCTTTTGCCCTTCTCTCCATATAATGAACATCCGGGAACATATTTAACTCTGTTCAAACACTCTCTGAACTCATCAAGCTTTTTGTTATAAATCTCTTTGCTCCTCGGATGAGTTCTTATCTCCGATAAGAAATCGTGTGTGTACTTTGTCTTTAATCTAAATAACTCCTGCAGGTTCTTTATTGTCTTGAATCTCTCTTATTAACCTCTTTGTCTTCACTACTTCCTCAAACATTTCAAGAGATCTGTAAACCATGACGAGGGAGATGTAGTGTTCTTCGATACCTTACACTGATGATGTAAAGTTATTTAGCGTACCGGTTTAAACCGGAACCGTTCGATTTTGTTTTTTAGGGATAAGTTTAATTAAATTAGACCTCTTTTATAAATTACCTTTTCTTTTGCTTTTAATTCGAGAAATTTTCCAAAAAAAAAATACCAACCTAAAATAAAATAAAAATTCCATGAATATTTTTTGTTTCCTTATTAACCGGACCATGTACTCTAGTGGAGAAACAAAATAAGATCATGGAGATGATCATTTGTTCACACTTCACAGCCAAGTTAAATTTAGCAAGGAAGAAGAGAAGAATAGAAATCAAACCGTTGTGAGTGCAATTAAACTTAATGAGCTCAATCTATTGGGTTCTTTGTGGGCTTTGATAAATCTTTAAATGTTTGCCCAATGATTGAGTTAAATACCAATAAAATAGAGCTTTAAGCACCAATTCGGCCTATATCAAGGTGGTTGAGTCTCAGCTGTGCTCGTCTCCCACCAGGGTTCGAACAATATTGGTACCAAGTTTGGCTTCTTCCGAGTAGTCAGTCTCGACTCTCGAGAATGCTTCTTATCGCCGGAGGGATGTCCCCGTGCGCTTCTTCTTCCCGTTGTGGAATGTTATCTTCTTCCCAGTGTATCTGGAGTCAAGTTCCCAGTGTTGTCTGGAGTAATGTCTCCCGAGGTTCTTACCTCGTGGATGTATGTCTTCCACCATTAATGTGGTCAAGACCCAAATGAGGTAATCTAAATTACCTCTCTTTTTGTATTTTTTGATGTTGTTGCAAATCTAACAACTGTTAATAGGGAATATGAATTAGAGGATAATTTCTTTTGAACAAGATAAACTGTTTTGAGAGGTCTTTGAATTGAGTGATGATGACTAAAGAATGCGCAAATCTGGTTCAGGGCTTTCGTCGAACAGTTTGTGGGTGTAAAGTAAAACCAAGACTCCATATGTTTGCATGAAATTTCAATTAAAGAACATCGAAATCTTTAATCTTTAGAGAACCATAAAACTCAATCTTACTGGGATTGAATCTATATATACTCCAGGAACCAAAGACGAGAAAGATTCAAGAGACCTTTCACAAAACTAAGAGTAAATCAAAACCCACAAGGACGAACATTGGACTCTTGTGGAACAGTAAAAAAAAAGGAACCGAACCAAAAAAAGTTAAGATCGAGATTTCAATTTCAGGATTTGACGGAAAAATCAATACACTGATGTCAGATGATGAATCCGTGACGAGGAAGATGTAGTGTTCTTCGATTTGATACGTTATACTGATGATGTGAAATTATTTAGCCAACCGGTCTAAACCGGAATCGTTCGATTTTGTTGTTTTAAGGGATAAGTATAATTAAATTAGAGATAATGTCACCAATTGAATACTTTCTTATGTGGTTGTGTTTCCTTTGTGGTTATGTCACCACCGGGGTTCGAATTGGTATCTTCTTAATTGAATTGCTTAATTGATACCTCACCTATCGAGGAGGTAATCTAAATTACCTTTTTTTTGCTGTTTTTCTTTTCGGGTAAATTTCCAAAAAATATTTTTAAAACTTACAACATTTTCTTAAATAGTAAATTTAATAAGATTTTTTGCTGTTTTTCCATTCGGGAAAATTTCTAAAAACTATATTTAAAACTTACAACATTTTCTTAAATAGTAAATTTAATATGATTTTTTTATTAAACGAGGTAGACAAAATTAGCTCTTTTTAAAAAAAAATTTTTGCCTCTTTTATTCATTTTAAAAATATGTAAAAATCGTTTTAATACATCTTTACTAGAAATAGTTTACATGATTTTTGGAATAGGCTCTTTCAAGAGAAGACCAAAAAAAGAATGTTGAACCACAAGTTACATATAAAAATCAAATTACAAATAAATAGCAACATATTGACATCATTTACTAGAAAGTGGAAAACCAATCCCATTGCGTGTTGTAGGAAATGTTGCAAACAACATACTACAAAACACCCCTACGCCTACCGGCAAAGCGGTAAGAACTTCCAATGCTTCCGCTGACGGTGCCGGAAAGAAACAATTTACCGCATTTCGATCGAATAGAACCACCGCACCAAACACGAATAACGACATGAAAGCATGAACAAAATCTATAAATCTTAGCTTATATCTCTTAGATAATTCTTGAGGAAGAGTTGTGGATCCATCAATGATCCAAAACCCATGGATTGTTGCAAGTCCATAACAAATAGTACCGTTTTTGTCTTTGTAAGAATCCGTGAAGCTAAGTATGAAGCAAGAGAATCCACATATTGCCACTAGAGTTGATGTCATGATCTTGCTCACTAAATCGCATTGACCGCCATTTGAGAAAATTGGCGATAAGAGCTGAAACGCGAGAACCGTTCCTGTTGGTAAGAGATTAGCTAAATGAGCAGTGGTTTGAAACGTTTGACCTATTGCCTTTTGTATCCATGTCGTTCTTTCTATATCCGGGAAGTCTTTGTCTTCTTCAAGAAGTGGCCTTGTGATGTCTTCTTTAGTGCTTTTTTGATGATCTTCATCAACTTTGATCTCCATATCTTTTGAAGTTGTTTCCCCTATGTTTTTCTCTGATTTTAGGAAATGATTTGATGTAAGAAGGAATGATGATGAAATCTAAAGTAGAGGATATATAATAGAGCGAGGTGAGAGAAAAGAGGCTTTACACATTTCTTATGCCTTGCAAGTAACCTTTGAGACCAAACCAAAGTCTTTGTTTAAGTGAAGCATGTTCTTTGCACACTCATCTTTATTTAAGAGAGGATTATAAATATTTGTTTGTTTTAAACTTTTAATATAACCATACGTTTTTTTTACGTCTCTATTACGTTTTAGAATCCTCATTTTTTTAAGGATTCTATAAAATTGTGTTTGATAAATACTTTCCTAGCTATGAACAATTTCTCCATGTCGTTAACAAATCTTTTAGTTTTTGTTTTTGTTTGATGATTTATTTTGTTGGAATTTCTTTTTATTCCTTCATATCTAATCATCTAAATCAATTTCATAAATGTTATCCTAGTGGGATTCTTCTTGAGACCGTGTCAAATGTCAATGAGAAGAGCGTCGTATAACATCACCTAAAATCGACCGTGTTTTAATTTAATAACTTTTATCTCGATCATATTTGCGTACTTTTAAAGTGGATATTAAGAATCTTTTGATTATCTGTTAATTTTTAAATATGACTAATCCATCCATCGTGGAGGTCAAGTAAGGTCTAACAGATAATTAGGTAAACATATATGTTTAACGTAAAGTTCTTAGTCAACCACGAATTTGCGTTTCTTTCACCTTTATGGTTAATTTTTAAAGAATGTTTATGTAGATATTAGTTGGCATTATTTTAAGTTAACTAACGTCCATTAATACGAATCCTCACACATTGAGTGAGACCTACACGTTAAACATTTTGCTATGATAAAATTCCAAAAATATTTTCTAAGATTCTTGGGCCTTAAGTACCAAACAGCCCAAATGTTGAGTAAGCAAGCAAGCGAAAGCAGAAAAGTTATTATTCTGGGGTGGCGTTAAAAATTGGTTAAACTCTTAAAACTGAAGCTTAAAGAGGTTCTTGATTTTTGAAGTAGTTGAATATAATTTCTTTATCATTTGAAAATCCGGTTTCGTATTCGTAAGATGCTTGGGTTTTTTCCCTGCATTGTTCTCATTTCTTCCGCATTAAAAAATGATCATAACTCATGATTTAGTTTATAAGAAATAATAATATTCGCATGAATTAAAAAAAAAAAAAAAAAAAAAAAAAAAAAAAAAAAAATATTCGCATGAATAATTATGATGATTGTCATGTGTACGAAACAATAAACATCCTGAGACTTGGAAGGAAAGGTGTTCTCATAATTTGGACGGTGGACCTAACTTGCTTCCGTGTGGAATAAGTTTTACATATCTTCCTCTTATTTTCTTTGGTTTTTGGTAAATTATTTTAATTATTGTAAAGTTTGGTAAGTTATTATTATTATTTTTACGTTGATTTCTGTTTTAATAAATTGTTTTAATATGGTTACTAATAAATATATATATAAACTTGTATCTGCGCTAATTTGAACTCAAAACCCCCAGGCAAAAAACTAGGCGAAGCATTATTTGTTCTGTTTTATCCCAACCTCAAATTATTTTCACTTTAAGTTCAAAGAAGTACCTCTTCATCCCAATATCCCATCATTGTTTGTACCATTATTTGTTGAATAACACTTACACACACACAAAAAGAAAAGTTGTGAGATCACCAAAAAAAAAAAGAAAAGAAAAGTTGTGACAATTGAATTTATTAAAAGATGATAATAAATTGATTTGAATGTATAGAATAGCTATTTTCTTGGACGCTGATAATCTTCCGATTAGATACGATAAAATGTTCATCTCACAAAGACACAAATCACATTACTAATAACTTTCTCAGTCTCTCGCTTTGTTAGCACCAGACTTTCGGTTTCGATTCATAACTAAATCTTGCACCAAAATGTAGCTAAGACTATGGTTGTTCGATAGTTCCCTTATTGGGATTATGTTGATCAGTTCGGTATTAGTAAACTACCTTATTAACCGGACCAAATCTTGTCCAATTCAATACACCATCGGTTTTGTATTATAAAACCAAACCGGTCACATAACCTTAAAATGAAGCCCTCAAAAAGTCCAATACAACAAAACCAAAGCCAAAACCTCCTTCCAAAAAGACAGTTTACAAAAACAAAAACAATAATCTCAACCTGAGCAACAACCAGATGATTTAACAGCAGTAACATCATCTTTGTTTCCAATATCAATGGTTTGTCCTTTAGGTAGAGACATCGGATCTCCAGTACCATCAAGAGCTTTACGGCTCATTACACGATAGATTTGAGTCAAAACATGAGTGAAAGCTTGTTCGACATTTGTAGCATCCAAAGCAGAAGTCTCCATGAAAAACATGTTTTCTCTTTCAGAGAATGATCTAGCTTCTTCTGTTGGGACTGCACGAAGGTGTCGAAGATCGGCTTTGTTTCCAACAAGCATGATCACAACGTTGGCATCAGTATGGTCACGAAGCTCCTTGAGCCATCTTTCAACGTTTTCGAACGTTATGTGTCTAGTTATGTCGTATACTAGAAGTGCCCCCACTGCTCCTCTATAGTATGCACTCGTGATTGCTCTGTATCTGTATAACAAACAAGTCGCAATTACTCAAAAACAGAGCGTATAGCAGTAGGTGTGGGAAATCGGTTTACAGTTTGGTTTGGTTCGGCTATTGATTTTATCGGTTTTACAGAAACTAAAACCAAATAAAATCATGGTTTGGATCCCGTTTTGTTATTGATTTGAATTAAGTTAGATTTGGTTAAAATATAGAAATTGATAATGAAATAAATCATAATCTAGTTAATATTATATTAATGTAAAATAATTATTCCAATTTTCCATACATAAACACAATTAGAAGTAGATAATCTTAAAATTTTGGTTGATTCGGTTCAATTTTGGTTTGGTTACACTAAAATCAGTTTATATTTTGATTATTTGGGTTTCAAAATAAGAAAACCAACAAATTTGTCAAACTATCCAGTTTTGATTTTTGTTCAAGCATTTCGGTTTAGTTTGGTTTGGTTCAAAGAATGAAAAACAGAGCGATAAAACAGAGAGGTTTCGAGGATTTATTACCTTTCTTGACCAGCGGTATCCCAAAGCTGAGCTTTGATGATTTTCTCGTCGACATGAACACTTCTTGTGGCGAACTCTACACCGATGGTTGACTTTGACTCGATGCTGAATTCGTTTCTGGTGAATCGAGACAAAAGGTTGGATTTTCCGACGCCGGAATCTCCAATCAAGACTAGTTTAAAGAGATAATCGTAGTCGTCGTCGGCTCTGTAGGCTCCCATTATTAAGATATTTGATCGAAGTTACAAAATACTAAAGAAGAATTCAGAGAGATGTTGTAATGATCTTTATGAAATGAATGATGTGTTGTTGTGTTTTGTAATGAAATGAAATTATGGGTAGTGGGTAACGACGAAAGGCTTATTGGTTTTTGGTTTGTGTTATAAAAATAAGAATAATTAGGATTCAATGATTTGTTATTATTATATGCATGACTAAGTATATGTATATGTTTTGAAAGTCGTTGGAAAGATTAGAGAACAAACATGTTTGACGAAATCTTCGAGTTTATGGCCGCCATGAACTGGTAAACGCAGAACAAAAATACACTTGCAGGAAAAAACAACAATATTATCTCTTCAATTCAATAATTCAATATAAATCCACAAGGAAATTTGTTTTCATAAATAAATTGATAGCAATGTATAGGAAGATATCTAGGAAAAATATATCTTCCTCAAGGAAATATATGATAACTATATTAATATATGGTATTTTGATTTTCTCATGAAATTTTCAATTTATGTTTTAACTTTTCAGAAATTGTTTTATATGACACTAAATATGGTGTATAGTTGAGATTATTGAGGGACACATGTAATAGACTTTTAGTAATAGATCCTACCAACTCTAAAGGAAACTATTAAGTTTATTTTTGAGAAAATTACATAGATCTTGTAATATTTATTTTAGACCTAAAACATATGTGTTCATGTCAATGTTAACTATAAATAGAATTACTTTTGACAAACAACTTCTTAACATTATTTATCAATTTAACTATATAACACTTGGTTATAAAGAAAAACGAAAACCACTCAAATTGAAAGAAAATATTTCAACTTGAGAACTCTTTTATTATTTGACTCCAATGTATATGACCTGTTAAAATACAATAATTTTTATTGGTTCGAGAATTATTGACCACAACTTATAGTTCAAGACTTAGATCAAAGACAGGCTCTGGATTGATTGGTGATGGCAAAAAACTCAAAGAGGAAACATAACATAACACAACAATGGTACAAGATTTTTCTCAACATTTTAAACGACAACGTCCAAGTCATCGATCTATATATAAATTGACTCTGTTTTCCATTGATTTGGAAAAGAGTACCATAATACAAGAGGACAATCTATCACCACTTTGATCATCATCAATGTCCCAAGTGCAAAGCTTCATCCACGGCTAGTGCCAATGCAGCAGCAGCACCAACATATGTGTGTGGAGTTAGTTCCAAAAGTTGGTCTTTTGCTTCTGCAGGCAATTCCAAACCTTTGATAAACGTTCTTATGCTTTCTTCATTCACAGCTTTTCCTCTTGTTAGCTCCTTCAGCTTCTCATACGGCTCAGGGACACCGTATCTCCTCATCACCTTTTTTTTATACCATGATAATTCTGTGGATTAGAGATACATGGAATAACTTGATCGATATAGAAGATTAGAAAGTCGAGAAATTTACAGTTTGTATCGGTTCAGCGAGGACTTCCCAATTATCATCCAAATCTTCTTTTAACCGAGCTTCATTAACCTATATCAAGAAAATTCTTAGTTTATGACAAGTGGAAACATTTCTTAGGGCTACGGTAATAATACCTGAAGCTTCCCGATTCCCTGTATCGCACTCTTGTAAGCGAGAAGAGAGTGTCCTAAAGCTCCACCCATGTTTCTCAAGACAGTTGAATCAGTTAAATCACGCTGCAGATTGTACATTTTTCAGGCTTAGTTTACTTCCATCACTCTAGCTGAGATACATAGAATATGGAGAAATGTTAAAACCTGCATCCGTGAAATGGGAAGCTTCATGCTGAGAAAAGTAAGCTCTGCGTTAGCTTTCCCTAGGTTCCCTTCGCTGTTCTCAAAGTCAATAGGATTCACTTTGTGAGGCATTGTCGATGATCCAATTTCACCCGCTTTAGTTGTCTGCAAAACCTCAAACAATGAGACGACTTTCCCTTGCACATTCAAATGATTTGACAATATATTTTTTCCTTTCATTTATTAACACTTGCCTGCTTAAAGTACCCCAGGGATATGTAGCTCCATATATCTCTGTCAAAATCAATTAAAATATTGTTGAATTGGCTAATATTATTAAAAAGTCTAGCCATATAGTCATGAGGTTCGATCTGCAAAACCCACGAGAACAATCAACCAGTGAGGATATTTATGAATTTGAATAAAATCGTTTGATCAATAGAAACTATATTACCTGAGTCACGTATGGGTTGAATGTTAATCCAAGAGAAGTAACAAACTCCTCTGCAACATGAGGCCAGTCGATATTCGAATATGCGGAAATATGGGCGTTGTAGTTCCCAACAGCACCCGCAAATTTCCCCTTAATCTTAGTTTCAGAAAGATATCTCCTTTCTTCGCTTAACCTCACAGCAAAAATCGCCATTTCTTTTCCCAAAGTTGTTGGCGTAGCTGGCTGCATTACAATTCATAGTAACAAAATCATTAGTAAAGAGATAGATAGAACCAGTATACAGAAAAAAAGGGAAAGGTAAAATGGTGAAAGTCTTCTCTTTCGACATTACCTGCCCATGAGTTCGTGAAAGCATGGGGACATACGCAAAGTTCTTAGCCATCAGAGAGATAGACTTGATCAGCTCATCCATGGACGGAAGTATAACCGAACTAAGTGATTCTTGAAGCATCAAAGCATGGGAAAGATTGTTGATGTCCTCGGACGTGCAAGCAAAATGGAAAAACTCAAGAACCTGATTGATTAAAAGACTGAGAAGTTTAGTTACAGAGCATCAAAGCAACCAAACCCTAAGAAGTTAGAAGTGAGAGAAAAGTTTCTAAACCTTAGCAATCTCTGGTTGTGATTCACACTTTTGTTTCAAGAAATACTCCACTGCTTTCACATCGTGATTTGTTACTCTCTCAATCTTCTTAATTTCCAATGCATCATCCAAGCTAAATCCATCGATTATGCCTTGCAAGTAACTCTGAGCTTCTTTGCTAAAGCTTGGAACTTCAGTGACTTCAGGAATACTCGAAAGCTTAAGAAGCCATTTGATCTAGCAAGTATATAAAAATCAAAGTTTTAGCAAATGGGTGCATTAGAACACACAACTAAACTACTCGTACAAAGGGATACATAGCATGACATAACTAGTACAATCTTCACAATCAATCAATTAGATCATAAATCTTCTCTTGAGAGACACAAAAAAGCGTTAATTTCATAACGAAGTACCTCGACAAGAACTCGGAAATAGATCAACCCAAACTCGCTCAGAGAAGAAGCCAAGTCCTTAACTTTTCCCCAATAACGTCCATCCAAAGGCGACAATGCCGTTAAATTCGACATCTCCAAGTCTCTAGAGCTCACTCCAGCCATTTCCACCACCTAAAGCATATCCATTTTATCGCCAATTCGTATCAAAAACATCAGATTACATCCAAACACATCATTTCAACATAAACCCATTAAAAAAATTTCGGCTTGAAACTAGAAAAGGCTTTACCTTTCTTGAAGTCACTAGCTTGGGAGAATCAGTAGTAGAAACAGAGCATGAAACTCTCGGAAGCCGATGATGAGAAGCCAAACGCACTGATTTTGATGGGTTTAGGAATATTCCGGTGGGTGAAAACCCGAAAGAAGGGATTTTGGGGTTGGTTAAAGCCATTGAAGAAAAATTGAGCTCCATTTGTGATATAGTGATCTCAAAGGTCTAAACTTTAAACCTAGATTCCAGAATCAAAGCACAATGTGAGTGAGTGTGGGAAGCTTAGCGTAATTGTACCGCCGATATATATTAAGGGTTTTAGGAGATTTCCGATTAAAAAACTCATGCGCATTTCTTTTTTTTCTAAATTCCATATTTACCCCTGATGTCCCTACATATTACGCTTATTGGATGAGGATTATTATTAGCTTATCGCCTTATCCTTTCTATTTGAGCACGTTTATTAATAGTTTCAATTATATGGATTTAAATCCTAACTTTAATAATTTATAAATCGTCGTTTGTGAATCAAAAATGTTGGACAACCACAAAACAATACTCATGTGTTTTATGTGTAGAATTATATCTCACCAAGCGTTTGTCATATACTGATGTAAGTAAATGAACCAAAAACTGATTATTATACCATTTTAGCAACAATTATATGTCATGTTTAAGATTAGAAATTGGTTCAGTTTATTTTTAATCAGTGACCATTTGGCTATTTGGCTTCATCAAACCATTTTATTATACTAAACTGAATAGATTCTCTGCAACTTAATTTATTTTTTATATTTATTTTAAATTAAAATTAATACTAACATAGGAAATAAAAAACAAATAGCCAATTTTATTGTCAAGATCGATAACATTTTCAATTTTCAATATTTTTAATCAGTGTGATGAAAACAACAATCCCACAAAGCGAAGCAGTGTTCTTACATAAACACAAGCACGAGAAAGAGTACTCTGTTACAAAGTTTTGATTTTGATAAATTTGCATACAGAGTCGAAGAAAAAGTTGAGATCTTTGTGTAACCAAAAGCATAAGAAATGATTAAGCGAGAAACCCTAGAACTCAAATCGTGAAACCCTAAATCTCAGAACAAAACAAGGATCGAATTCGCAAGATTTAACTTCAGTAGAACAGATCGACATCATATGATATCGAATTGATTAGAAACTCGAGCTTACCAGGCAATGAGGGTTTTTTTCGTTATGGAGAGAGCGGAGGAGATGGCCTTAAGCGGCGGTCTCAGCGGCGGCGATAAATGTGAACCTTGACGGCGAGAGATTGATGTTTGTTTTTATATCAAGGCCTCATTTTTTTGGACGCTTTAGGCCCATTTTTTATTTGCTAAGGCCCGTGGCCCGATTAAACAAATGTCTTGACATAAATATATAACTATGAAAATTAACAACCGTAATGGTTAATGTTTTTCTGTCAGAAAGAAGATAATAACGTGTCCAAATAATCACTTCCCAAATCCTCAAACTCAAACAAACCAAACACATCACATAATGTCTCTTCTTCTTCAGTTACCATCTTCTGCATTTCAACTTCTTCAAACATACAATCTTTGTCACTCCTTCGTCTCTTTCTTGAACCTAACCAAGTTTCTTCACTCCCAAGCAGCCCACACGAGTACTTCTTAGTTGAACAACAACTAAGGGCACACTGGTTTTCAACCATCCCATCAACGACTTCATCATAAGCCCTAATCGCCTCTTTTCTCGTTCTCAATCCAATTTTGTGGCCGCTTCTTAATGGTTGAGACGTATTTGAGCTGTTTATCGGGTAGTAGTTTGAGTTGCAATCCATTTCCATAGCTTTTATAACCGTCTCAAGCTGAAAATTTGTGTGAGCTTTTTGAGTTCCTCTAATTCTAACTGCGGCTTTATCGTAAGCCATAGCTGCTTCTTCTGCTGTTTGGAACGTTCCGAGCCAAATCCTAACGCCGTTTCTTGTCGAATCCCTGATTTCGGCTGCGAATTTCCCCCACGGACGCCTCCGCACTCCCCTGTATTTTCTTGTTTTGCAAGAAACCCGAGAAGGCAAAAAACAAGAATCGGTGGTAGGGTTGGTTAGTGGTTCATGATTGGTTTCGCTCGGGAAAGAAGCAATCGCGTCGAGAATCTCTGTCCATTCCTGGGCCTCCATTGACATATCTAGGCTTGGATACCTTTCTTTAGAACCTTCTGGTATGTCATCAAGGGTAGGCAACGTTTCCCAAGTTCTTGAAACTTCTGAAACATGAATAGATCCTTTATCGGTTTGTGGTGTTCTGATGAAATTCGCCCAAACATTCTTTAGGATCTCTCCGTCTGGTTCTTGGATATTGCCAAAAGCCATTGTTGGAAGAGAGGAATATGTGTTGGTGAGCTTTAGGGCATTTTAAAGAGATTGTTGCTTTGGGGATTATGTGTGCGTTGAATGGGTAATCTGCGGCAGGATAATTGGGAAGTACAGTTGGTAAAACTTGTGTTCCAAGGTACTGACCACCTCATTTCATGGAGGGTTTTAGGTTCCACATAATATCAGGGTTTTTCTGTCTATACACACACATATCATTATGTGAATAGATCATCTTAAGTCAACTTCAATAAATTAAATAAATAATGTTACTTAAATTTGAAGTATAAAGATTGTGTACTCTTGAAAAGGACTAGATGCAGAGTATTATAAATTAATTTACTTTTGTAATAAACAGATTAATCTTCAGTTTAACGCTTCATGAGAATCTATGATGTGTTCCCACCAGAGGCACAAATCCGTTTTGGAGAATTGTAATTATTGGATCAAACCTAAGTTTTTTTTTTTTTTATGTTTCGTTCCACGCTCGTCGCATTTTAACGACTTTTTCAACTATTTTTTTGGTTAAAAATGGAAATGTAGCTTCTAAATTACTAGTTTCTAGTCTTCTACTGTTAGATTGGTGAACCCTAATACTGATTAGCTTTTCATCCATCGATAAATAATTCTTCAGTTTATGGTTTTGTGAAGTTTGTTGACAGTTATTAATTTACTATATACGATCACAGTCTTTTTTTCGAGTACGCGTTCTTTGGACCTGGTGTATCTTGTTAATGCATATTGCCTAGAGAATGTATAAAATAATGATAACTAATCGCTATCAAAATGTGAAACGAAATAAGAAAAATGTAAAGCTAAGTCATCACTAACCTTTTCTCCAAGTAGTATTTGTATGAGATCATTTTCCGTAAGTCCAAAGATTTGACACAATGATGAGAGGCGAATAGAAAATATAAATTAATTCCACACGCTTTGAAACATATATAGCTTACAAGTTACAAATGAAAAAAAAAAAATGAAAAAGAGAGATTAAGATCTTTATTCAATGTATTAGAGAGAATGAGAGATGCTTTATATGGTAGGTTCAAGTCACCTCAAGTACGTATCAGCAAATATTAAAAAACTATCTGCTAATTTTATATCATATTCTCGTTTAAGATTCATTCATTCGTTCTCCACCACGAGAGTTTCTTGCTTCGGCGCACATATATATAGACTATAGTTCAAGAAATTCTCGTGTTGGAGAGACTCCAAGTGTGCTAGAGAGTTTTTGATTAGAAAGGTGTTTGTTCGAGCATTAAAGATTGTTGCAATGGTTCTATCTTAAGGTGGTCATTTGTTAAATTTTAGTATTCAATCTCGAGAGCTTCATAAGTCTAGAGGTTTGGGATATGGGAGGCGGTATCTTTTTAAATACCCCAATTCATATAAAATAAAAAATTCTTAAAAAATGATAATCATCAAATATTCCAAATGAATAAATAAAACAAGGCAAAATATATATTAATTCCAAGATATAATTTTTTTCTTGCCAACAAATCACTAATCATACTTTCAAAATTTTAACATTTTTACCTTTTTCAATATAGAAGATTGAACTGCCTAAATAAAGCATTCTCTTAAGATTTCACGAGTTTTTCTATTCGTTATATGTTTTTACTATTTCGCTGAGCCGTCTCTAAACTTTGCAAGGCTACAAGCAAAAAAAAATGGTCTATGCTTAGCTTGCTTGACCTAAGGACCAGCTCTGCTACCTTCCACGGCTATCTACCTTTTTATGTTGTTCCAAAACATTTTTTCTATTTTTAAAGAAGAATTTACAGTTATCAGAAAAAAATTATTAGTTGAATACTTTCTTTGTTCCTAATAGTTTGATGTTTTGGTTTTCTCACACATATTGAGAAAATAATCATTGTTTAATTATTTTACCATTATTTTTTATATTTAGTATTTTTTAAGAATTATGAATCAATAGTAATCCAACAAATTTAATTATTCTCAATCATTGCATCTTGAAGTTTACGATTGTAATATCAATTAATAAAACTTAGAAAAAACCTAGAAAATCAATCTTAATGGAACAAAATAAACATGTTAGAACATCAATTTTTTAGGAATAGGAGGAATAATAGTTTGATACACTAATAAAATTCATGCTACACATACAAATTTGTAAATGCTTGTGCATAACGACACTACAAGTGTGTATAAAACTTCCAATTCTATAATCACAAGTCTCAGTTCTAAACTTAATCGAATCCAAATCACAAAAAGCATTCCAAAATTGATTAAAAACAAAACTACAATATAGAAAAGACTTACTAAAATTTATAAATTACAAAACTATACTATAAAAAAAAGTTTTTTTAAATAAGTTAAAAGTTTTTTTCCGTCTTATCATCTATATGAGAGAACTAAATACTAAATGTTTAAATTTTAATTAAGTTCTTAAGAAGCTAAAGTTGTTCAGAAGAGTAACGGTAAAAACAATTTAAAAAGAGATAACATCAAATCAAACCATGAATTTTTTTAAGAACTATGAATCAATACTTACGGAGAAAAATATAAGAAAATATGCAATAAAAAAAAAAAAAGCATAACGAGTTCGAGTTGTCAACTTGTCATGTATGTCTAAGCTAGAGATCGATTTCTTTTAAACATAGAATTATCTAAATCACTATCATTTGGTCAGTCGAAATGGTGACATGCTTTAGATCCATTAGAAAATCAAGTAAGTCGTTTATTGGATAGCTACAATTGCTCTAAGAATATTAGTTGGTGGTAAAAGTCTATATCATTCCCTAATTACAAAAATAAAAATAAAAACTTTATGAATTATTGTAACCAAACTAGCTAGTATGGTCCCTATTGTTGTAGTCTAGTTAGAAGACTTGGTTCTAAGTTCTAACCTTCGAGGGCCGGTTCAACTTCCGGTTTTGCCGAACAATTCTCTTATGGCGGGAAAATTGTCTTCTGTCGACTATTAGGGTTTCTACAAATCTCTCTCTCCGTTCTAGTTTCGGATTAAGATTTCAATCTCTTCTCGTTTTCTTTGGTCCTGAGAAGAAGAATTAGTGAATTGTGAAAGAGAAGATGTCGAAAGAGACGAAGGGTAACAATACTAGCAGAGTGATGAGTAGCTATGGCGGTGGCTTAGAAGCAAACACCTTGGCTATGCTTGATTCCACCGGAGCTAAAGACAATCGCGACGCTAACGAAGATCGTACGTTTCTCAATTTTTCAATCTCCGTCTTCGTTTATGACAATTTCCTTTGTTTTTTGTTTGTTAGATTGATCCGTTGAATGAAACCCTAGGTTTGCAGTATCTGGAAGCTGTTCGTTCTGCTTCACTTGTACCCGAGAATGGAATTCCTCCAACCAAGTAAAAAAAAAAGCACTCTTTTTTTAAGAAATTTGAAGTTTTTGCCTCAAAAGAATCATGATTTTGATTTGGGTTTTGTTTAATTTGAAGCAAAATGTACAAAGCGATTTTCCGGATATTGAGATTTGGTAAAACATTGGAACTTATAACAGCAAGCTTCCAGCTTTTGACACAATTACATCAGGTACTTTGATGCAAATTTTGGTAGTGAATTTGTCTCAAAACTCGTGTAAGTTTCAATGTTTTGCTTATTATGATTTTGTTTTGTTTTCAGCGGTTTCCTTGGGTTTATGTATCTGATTCAGCTGATCAGTTGGAAATCGTTGACGAGGTACTTGTTCTATAGTTATGATGTGTTTTTGTCCATTCTTAGTTATGGTGAGGATGGTTGATTTCATGTGTTTGTTTTGCAGGCTTGGTCACCGTTTAATTTCGGGTCTGATGTTGATTCTGATGAAAAGGATATATCAGTGAGAAGCTTATGTAAGGACGTTTGTCTTTTCTTTTGAGTTAGCTTTTTGTTGGTTCTTGCTAACTATGATCTTTTTTGTTTTGGGATTTCAGTTTTTCAACAGCTGATTCAAAACATGAACAAAAGGGTTAGTGAGCCTGAGGAATCGAATTTAAAGGTTAGTTTATTTGTTATGTTGCAGATAAGCTTAAAAAATTGGTAGACTTTCACACAACTTGTTGATCTTGCTTCTTTTGTTTGGACTTCTGCAGATCCTGGGAAATATGTTTCTGTTCAAGTATCTTGCTCATGTTCTTAAGCTAGATTTCACGCCCCGGAATCAAGTGTATGAAGGTACAAATTATGTCTTCATAGTTTAAAGATTTCTCTTTATCTTGTAAAGTTTGGGGAAATTCTTAGAACTTTTGTATCCTTTTGTGCTCCAGAAACCAAGAACTGGAGTCTTTTGAAGGAATCTTCTCTGAATCTACTTCTGGTATATCCCACAATCAATGGCTTAGAAACTAGTATAGTCCCTTAATTTATCTGTGATTTTTAATGTTATGGTTCCGCTTGTAGGCTTCACGAAAAGTGAATTTCAAACTTCTAATGAAAGATTATCTATCAACAATGTGTGCACCCATTGATGCTGATGAAAAGTCTATCAGTTTGGTAGAATTGCACAAGGACACGCTTTCTGCTATGAAGGAACTTCTAGTAATGGTAAGTTGTCGGTTACCAGAGTATTTAGTGTTTCGATTTTTGGTGCTTTTTTGTCTTACATTTCTGTTCCTTTTTTAGATCATTGAGCTTGATGCTTCAAAGAAGAAAGCTGACTTAGAAGGGATTACCTCTAGAGGAGATGGCGTAAGGTATTCGAATTTCTGCCTCTCTTTTGAATTGTGTTTTCGCCATGTTTGTGATCCAGTTTGATGCAGGACTCCTGCAATGGAGATCATTCTCGACGAGCTGACTTATAATGGATACTTGCTATCAAATTTTCTTCAGGTAAGAGACAAACCACTTCTGAAACTCTCTGTGCTCTGTGAATTCTTCTCTTTGTGGTTCTTGAGTGAAAATTTCTCAATCAGGTTTTCGATGATCCTAAATGGAAGCTAGAGATTGTTCTCCAATACCTTACCAAATACATCCCTAAGGTTTGTTGTTAATTCTCTGATTTCTCTCTGGTGTGAATTTATAGTTATTTCTCTCTCTGACCAAATTCCTTTCTGGTTGTAGCCTTCTGTTCGTACCCGAAGAACAACTGTTCCTCAAGCAGAGGATTCGAAAACACTAAATGGGATCTTGAAGACATTTTCAAATGGCTTAAATGCAAAGAACATCACTAAAAAGATAGGACCTGACATTGTTCAGATCCTCATCGGACATGCCTTTCTGGTAATTATAATATCTTTGTTTCTTCTTTCACATTCTCTGAGCTTTTTTTTGCCTCCCCCTAATGTATTTAACCATTCGTCAGGCTAGGCTTACATTCTCTGACCCTAACGAAGAAGACTCTATTACAGAGATATGCAATAGTATCATCTCTGCATTTACAAGTCTAAAGCGAGTAGATCAGTAAGCTGCAGTTTCTTTTACTCAGTTTTTTTTTCTTTGTACAATCGATACTATAGCGCTTTCCTTTGTCCAATCGAAAGTTTCATGGTTCTTATAGGAAAATCGAGATTCTACCGTTTGGGAAGGAAGTGTTGTTTACTGCAGGAATGGTACTCAAGGCAAAAGCATAAGGCATCTAGGAATCAAGATTTTAACAAATCTAGAGGCTTGCATTGGATTAAAAGCAAGGAAGGTACATGTAATGTAGGAATTAAGAGTTACAGTCCAATGAATTATGAATGTTTCACATGAATTTTATATTCTATAGTTTTGCCGATACAAGATGAGTGATCTTATGATGCTGTTGATGCCTTTGTCTCATTTCTGGAACAATTAAAGACTTGCTTTAGTAACAAATCAATGCCTGATAAGCTTATGCAAAAAATCTTGGCTTACTTGGAGGATTGGGGTGATTCGAGCTGCATCGTGACTGGACCATCGTTTACAAGATTGACCTTTTAATATGATCAAAGTAATGTATAAGCAAGAGAACATGTTTTAATCACACAAGATAACAAACTAAACCTTGCTATTGAAAGGATTTATCTCCTTACCTGCATCATAGCTCCAAACACACCATCTGTTTGAAATAGTGAACCAATTTAGTCAAGAAGACCGGAGAAAAATGTGAAATTTTGATCAAGAAAAGATGAATGAAAGTGTGTTTACCCTTTACTGCATCAGGATTATATACTTTCTGGAATTTTTCGACTAAAGAGGCGTAAAACGGCTTTGCTTTATCAGGAGGCATTGCGACATGAAAATCAGGTTTGTTACCTTTCAAGAATCCGTATAATGTAAACTGACTAACTGTAGTAACACATGATCCAAAGACCAGAGAAGGCAAAGGAGTCAATTCTCAGTACAATAACCAGAACCTAAATCTTTCTCTAATCTAAAGGTAAAGCATAATAAACAGATGCATTACCAAGTAAAACTCCATAATTCCTCTGCATTACCTGCAAAAACCGCAGCAAAGTTTTCATTTTCAAAAAAAAAATCTTGAAAAGCAAATTCATGGAAAGAAACTGTAAACAGAACTTACATTTTGGTCCCATCCTTTGCCAGTGGTCTCATTAGAGAACAATCTCATGTTTAAAACTTTTCGACATCTATAAATATAAGTTTAAACTTCAGAATTTATAATGAAAATTTAAATGGAAGAATTAAGATAAAAATTTATCTTTTTAGTGGAAGCATACATGTAATCGGCGTCAGAATCGGTATCTGTTTCATGGATTCCAATTAAAACCAAGAGACCAGGTCCAATCTCCGATACGATTCGACCATCCACCGTAACAGAGGAAGATGAGACTCTCTGGATTACAGCTCTCATTGCTCTGATCTGATAATTCCGACGGTGAAGTCGCTGACTTTGGTGGCGGCGATTGCGGCGGAGGAGAAAAGGTGAGAGCTTGTTGTGGAGTGGAGTAGTGTGGGAAGAAGAAGAAGCAAGACGATACATTTTCTTTTGTTTGTCAAATGAATCCCAAGGAATGATGAAACATATAACCGACATTAAACAGAACCAAATTGAAACTTTTTGAAATTGAACCGAAATAATTTAAACCATATGCCTAAAATTAGACCCGAACCTGTAAATCGCCGGCAAGCGTGTCGCCGTCGCCGTGAACAACCGAGAAAAAGGCAAATAAGAGAGAAAAAGCCTTTATATACTGAAACAACCGAAGAAGGCAAACCTCTCGAGCGAAAAAAGATGGCGTTTTGGAAACCAGGGACCGAGAAACCTAGTTTCGAAGAGGATGGAGAAGGAGGTATAGTGTTCATGTCCAACAATCTCGCTTCCTCTTCTTCTTCTAGGTATGTCATTCCTCTCTCTCTCTATTGCTACTGGTAAAGGTACTTTTTCTGTGGATGATTATAACTTAAGGTCGGAATTGTAGTTATGGGTATGCGAATATAGAGAAGCAGAGACAGAGATTGCCAGTGTACAAGTACAGAACTGAGATTTTGTATTTGGTGGAGAATCACGCTACCACCATTATCGTTGGCGAGACGGGTAGTGGAAAAACTACTCAGATTCCTCAGGTTTGTTCTTGGTTAATTTTTTTGGGGAAAGCACCTAGCTTTGCTAATTTCAGGGTTCTTAGACCAGTAGGCAAATTTTGATAGGAGTCGAAAGGTTTCGAATTTGAATTGGAAATTGTAATTGTAACTTGCTGATGTATTTGCAATGTAGCTAGAGAGGCACAAAATTTATTCAATCTTGCAAAATCTTGCAATGTTTAGCTCAATAGCTGTTGGGGAAGTTGAAGAATTGGAGAAAACTACAAATCGATCAATAGCAAGATCGTCTTGTTTTCTTGCCCACAAGTGTTGATAATGCTTTGTTTGTAATATTTTGTAGTACCTGAAAGAAGCTGGATGGGCGGAAGGAGGCCGAGTTATTGCTTGCACACAGCCAAGACGTTTAGCTGTCCAGGTTTGTTTTCTCTCCCTAAACCAAATCTTACAACTCAAGTTTGAAGAGTGATGTCTCAGCTTAAGTTTGGATATTTTGTGCTTGATCACATATACTCTTTGTTTTTGTAATTTGCTTAGGCGGTTTCTGCGAGAGTGGCCGAGGAAATGGGAGTGAATCTTGGGGATGATGTTGGCTACACAATTCGATTTGAAGATCAGACAACTTCCGTGAGACCCTTTCCTTAACGCTTTTCCACTTTTTCTTTTAGTATGGAATATTCTGATGATGCTTACAAGATCTTTTGATTGGTTAGAACAGGGTGTGACTAAGGTGAAATTTCTCACAGATGGGGTACTAATTCGAGAGATGATGGAGGATCCTCTCTTGACAAAGTATAGGTAATGATTTGCACCGTATAATCTGCTCAGATTATGAGTAAATCGTGTTGGTAAAACGTTCTCTTATTTGTCATTGCGCAGTGTTATTATGATAGATGAAGCTCATGAGAGATCTATCTCAACTGACATTTTACTTGGTCTCTTAAAAAAGGTATCTCAGTCAAACATAGTCTTAATTGTTAGTGTACTTTCAGCAACAACTATTAATAATTGATTTCAGATACAACGTCGTCGTCCTGAGCTACGCCTTATTATATCGTCAGCCACAATCGAAGCAAAAACAATGTTCAATTTCTTTAATCCCAGGTTCTGATCTTACCCAATGCTTATAGTTCTTTTGTCCCGAAGTTTAGGGCTCTTGGAATAACTAGTACCATATAATCTTATACATTATGTTAAATTAAATAAATAGCAAAAAACGCCATGCGCCAGAAGGTAGTGCCCCTGGACCAAAGTTAGAACCTGCAATCTTATCTGTTGAGGTATATTATAATTCTTATCTTGTGTAAGATCATTCTCTCTTAACCTTTTTTTTTTAAGTGATATTTAGATATTTTTGTTTTCTTGGTGAAATTTTCTTAGGGCAGAGGCTTCAGTGTGAAAATTCACTATGTTGAGGAGCCTGTATCAGATTATATCCGATCAGTTGTTTCAACGATACTGTTGATTAATGAGCGGGTACTTTGGTTTGATATTCTTATAACCATCCGATGTGTTCCTTGGCTGTTTATCTTTAAATTGTCTATTCTTATGTTCAGGAGCCACCTGGGGATGTTCTTGTATTTCTTACTGGTCAAGAGGATATCGAAACTGCTATTAAACTTCTTGAAGAAGAAGCTCATAGCAATCAAAAGAATTCTTCAGGTATAATAAATGTTTATATACACATAAATAAGATCATGTTGATCAACTTTAGCATTTGCCTTCAGTTTTTAAGCACAATAATAGAATTCATATCTTTTTCAGGACTGCTACCTCTGCCATTATATTCAGGACTTTCTCGATCAGAACAGGTTGATTTTTGTTGCAAGGCTCTACACAAGCTGACCCATACTTTTGAGAGTATTTGAAAAACTGAAACTGCGAAATGTTGTTTTCTCCTTTCTTTATATTAGGAATTGATCTTTACTCCAACTCCCAGAGGAAAGAGAAAAGTTATCCTATCAACAAATATTGCTGAAACTTCATTGACTCTGGAGGCAAGGATTCTTCATTACTGTCTTTTTGTTGCAAATCTCATGGAACAAACGGATGTTTTTCTCATATAGATATTGCTGAAGCATTGATTATAACTTTCTGTGCTAATCTTTATTCAGGGTGTTGTCTATGTGATTGATAGTGGTTTCTCGAAGCAGAAGTTCTATAACCCAGTAAGTTCATATCCATTTCTTTTGTTTATATTTTTTAGTTCCATCTTTTGTAATATATTGGACATTTACAAATCATCTTACATTTCTTACCCTCACAGATTTCAGATATCGAAAGTCTTGTGGTGGCACCTATATCCAAAGCATCTGCAAGGCAAAGGTCTGGTAGGGCTGGGCGAGTTCGGCCTGGGAAGTGTTACAGGTGACTGACTCTCTATCCGTTTATAAAAGTGACAGAATTGTCTGATATAGTGCTTTCGTGCTCATTAATCCTCTTCCTGATGTTTTTATGGTAACTAGGCTTTACACCGAAGATTATTTTCTCAACCAAATGCCTGGAGAAGGCATTCCGGAGATGCAGAGGTCGAATCTTGTTTCTACTGTAATACAGGTACTAAACTTGCTCAACTCTTGTCATTTAGCTTTTTTATAAGAACTCAAAATTTGGGAGGCGTTACGCAAACCCACACATAATTTGTTTATTTCAAGCTCTTCACCTTTTCTATTAAGTAATTAATATCCAGATGAGAGGAAGCTCTTGCTTCTAGATTGCTAAGCTCTGTTGATTTTTTGTTTTTTTCAGCTAAAAGCTCTGGGCATAGATAATATCTTGGGTTTCGATTGGCCTGCACCTCCATCCCCTCAAGCAATGATCCGAGCACTCGAAGTACTTTATTCACTTCAGATCCTCGATGATGATGCTAAACTCACTTCGCCAACAGGATTCCAAGTTGCAGAGCTTCCACTGGTACTTTTTCTTCCTGACCTTGAGTTATTATATATCTAAAATGTAATGTTCATTTGCAGTTTTTTCTGCATTATTACATGTCTCATGTTCATCATTTTTTGCTAGGACCCAATGATATCAAAAATGATTTTGGCTTCAAGTGAGCTTGGTTGTTCAGATGAGATCATTACAATCGCTGCAGTTCTCTCTATCCAAGTAAAAGCTCTTTACCCCTTTTCCTCTGCTTAAAGTTTCTTCTCTTTGATTGCATAAGGACATATTGCAAATTTGTGATTATTTGCCTTCGACTTGAACTATGGGATTTGAAACTAAACGGATGCAATCCTGAATATGTTTCTATGCAGTCTGTTTGGATCATTGCCAGGGGAGTACAGAAAGAACAAGATGAAGCAAAACTGAGATTTGCAGCCGCAGAGGTATATATTGCTATATAACTTTGAGCTAACGATATATCTGATAATCTTTTTTTGACTTGAGTAAAATCATTGGTCTTGTCTATATAGGGTGACCATGTAACATTCCTGAATGTATACAAAGGGTTTCTTGAGTCGAAAAAGCCTTCACAGTGGTGTTACAAGAATTTCCTCAACTACCAATCCATGGTGCGTATAATAACAGAACTGGCAAGTAGTCCTTATTTTCCCTTCTCCAATATAATTTGCTTTTGTTTCCTTTCTCAGAAAAAAGTAGTTGAAATCAGGGATCAACTCAAACGGATTGCTCGGAGATTAGGCATCACCTTGAAATCATGTGACGGAGACATGGAGGTATGCAACTGTGGCACTTTGCTTCAATTGAAAAAAGGTTGCAGGTCTCTAATGTTATACTGTTTCAGGCTGTGAGAAAAGCCGTGACTGCAGGATTTTTTGCCAATGCATGCCGCTTAGAAGTAAGTGACCCATTTAAGTTCTCTGTTTCTGCACATCCTTTTGGTCCTATATAAGAAATCAAATTTTCATCTTCTTTGATTTTTTTATGATGTTTTAGCCACACAGCAATGGTGTATACAAGACCATTAGAGGCTCTGAAGAAGTTTATATCCACCCGTCATCCGTATTATTCAGGTTAGTAGTATCTTGTTGCTATGGATTTAGCAAAAACCTCAGTAACATCTAAAAGTTGAAGATTTTTCTTTCGAATGTGAAAGCTTATTTGGTATATAATCTTTATACAACCTTCAGGGTGAATCCAAAATGGGTGGTTTACCAATCCATTGTCTCAACAGAGCGTCAATACATGCGAAATGTCGTCACCATCAATCCTTCTTGGCTGACAGAAGTTGCTCCACACTTTTACCAGAACCGGCAAAACGCTATGTCCTTCTAATCAATAAGCTATCACCAGCGTTTCAAGACATAGTAACAGTTAATCCTGACAACGTTTTCTGATAGCTTTATAGCCATAATCAATGCAGGAATGTTTGTAGTTGCAAAAATATAAACAGAGTTTTATTGAGTCTATGATTTGAAGTTTTGAACAACTCAACTTAATGGATACAGCATAGACTCTATATTCAATCAAATTTGCCTGTTTATAGTTTTGGTTCTTCTCACCGTTTACAGAGTAGGAAAAGTTAAGAAAAATGATCACAGAATTGAATCTCCTATTCAGCTGAAAATCTCGGCGAACTTCTCGGAAACTAGGACTCCTGAATCGATAGATTCCAGTGGATCTTTCCTCAGACGGTGCCTTAAGCAGTTAGGGATAACGGTTGCAACATCATCTGGAGTTACTCGATCTTTCCCTTTGAGAGCTGCAAGTGCTTTTGCTGCTCTGTTAGTCACTATGTCTCCTCTCAACCCATCAACATTGAGCTCTGAACATACCCTAGAGATCTTCACCTTCAATTCCCGATCAATCTGAACTGAGGAAAGATTTGCCCTAGCAGTTGAAATCTGGTCTTGAAGCTTGTCCTGCTCAGTTTTGTAAGTTTCACGGAAATCCTTTGGGTCACTATCGAAACGAGCTCTCTCTTCCACAATCTTGACTCGTAAATCAGCATCTCTAACCGTCCCTACTTGAGCGTGCATTCCAAACCGATCAAGAAGCTGTGGCCTAAGCTCTCCTTCTTCCGGATTTCCTGAACCAATTAAGATAAACCTCGCTGGGTGAGAAATCGAAATTCCTTCTCTCTCAACCGTATTCCAACCGGAAGCAGCTGAATCCAAAAGAACATCAACCAAATGATCATCCAAAAGATTAACTTCATCAACATAGAGAATCCCTCTATTGGCTTTAGCCAACAAACCGGGCTCAAAGGCTTTTACACCTTCTGTCAAAGCCTTTTCGATATCGATTGTTCCACAAACTCTATCTTCTGTTGCACCCAATGGAAGATCAACCATATTAATCTTAGTCGCAATAACCGGAACTTTCTCTCCTTTCTCAACTCTCTCTCTTACTTCAACACCCATAAACTCAGGATCTATAGGATCCGAGTTATACGGGTCACCAGCAACTACATTAATCTCGGGTAACAGATCAACTAATGATCTAACAGTTGTAGATTTCCCGGTTCCTCTATCTCCCATAATCATCACACCACCAATCTTTGGATCAATCACATTCAATAAAAGACATAACTTCATCTCATCTTGCCCTACTATAGCTGCAAATGGATAAACCGGTCTCGCACTCTTCTTTGAATCAAACTTCCCTACCTAAAACCCCAAAAACCACCATTACACAAAAACCAACAACAATCATGTTCCTAACTTCAAAAATCAAGCAAAGTCTGAAACTTTTTAGTGAACATCATCAAAAAATGCTTACTTGTTCAGTAGAGTTGATTTCTGTAGCTACATTCATAACCGAAACATGGTAACGAGACCTGTTCTTCTTTGGCCTTATCTGGATTCCTGTATTTAACTTGCTTCCAAACAATTTCCCTGTAAACAAGAATTCAACTCTTCAATTCACCATGATTTCGAATTGAGAAAAACAGTAAGGTTTTAAGGTTTCAAGAGTTTGGTTTACCTGGCCTGAAGCAAATGGGGGAAGTCGAAGGTGTTGAGGAAGAAGAAGAGAGTGAAGGAGAAGCCCAGATTGCAGAAGAAGATGTTCCAAGAAGAGACGCCATTTTTGTGTGAGCTTAGAGTTCACTCAGCTTGTGATTGGCTTTTTTCTCCTTCGAAAATTTTCGTTTCCATTGGGTTATGTTTGCTTCTGTGGTCAGGATAAGGCGATAGATTTCCTCCTCTATCTTCCTTCTTTATTTTTATTTTTGTTTTTCATTTTTTGCATTTTACAAAAATAATAATTATTTATTTATTATTAAAAATTAATTCTTTTCTGCAATTAAATAATTAATTGCACAATTTATTTATTTATTATTTTTTGCACAATTTTTTTCCCTCAGCACAATTTTGTCCTAATTTTTTTTATATAACCATATTTTACCGGTGGATTAAATAATTCACCACAAAAACGATATAGAAAATTAAAAAGCCGTACCAAAAAAAAAAGCGAGCTTATTATATATACCAAAGTCCAAACGGTAGAATATAAAGGCCCAGGTGAAATCATTCGCAGCCCAGCTAATTCAAAATCTTCCCCCTCCGAGTTCCATCGGCGATTTTTTTCTCTCCGGTGCCGTCGTCTTGTTCCCGTTGATCATTTACCGTGAGCGTCTAGTACAGATACAACTGTAAAGCGATTCAATCGGTAAGAATTTACTCTCGTTGCTCGTCGATTGAGTAGAATCTCACTGTCAGGCGTTGTTTAGCTTCGGTTTGTTAAGGTTCGACGATTGACGATCGCTGGTCACAATCGGTGAACATTTCTGTGTTAGAGGTAGCGATTATGCGTAGATTTGATTAAGAAATGGTCTATCAATGCTAAGAATATGTTTGATTTTACCTTCTGATTCGCTTTCTCCTAAACTTGAGTTTCGTACTGCTCCTTCTTCCTAAAATCCACGAATCGCCTGGTTTTTCTGGATAAATTGGTGTTGAATCTCATAATTTGGTTCCTGCTACTGTTCTTCTTTGTTTGCATTGGTTCTCGGATAATCACATTGTTTGATCTGTTATGTTTCTTAGTCTATCTGATAATCAGACCTACGTTATGCGTCATATCGCCTTAGAGATAGTTTTAGAAGAGTGTTAATGGAACGTAATCGCCTTAGAGATAGTTTTAGAAGATGTTAATGGAACTTATGATCGGTGTGATAACATTTTTTCTTCTTTGCTAGTTTAGTTTGTGACGTAGTTGCTTGATTTTTTTGTTGGTTGTGTTGTGTTCATCATAACATAACAGATAAGTGTTTGCGTGAGTGATTGCTAGAATGATTATGATGGTAGATTTTTTACTTTGCAGTTGGTTTTCAAGGGTGATACTGAGCAGATTTTGCCATGGCTGCACCTGCTAAAAGAAGTTCTACAGATACTCAGGAGAAAGATCTAATGCTCGGTATGGTTCAAGTGTTTAAGAGTTGGTTTCTATTATCTGTAAGTTAGTGAATCCAAATAATCATACAAGTATGATACATAACTATCACGGCAGTGCTAGTGGAATGCCTTCAAGCCGCTTGCGGCGAAAATTTTGTTTAAGAAAAGGAACCGTCAAGTAGACTGCCCTGATAACTTGATGTTATAGGCAGAAAGATCATGCACACTATTTTTTAGTCTTCATTATCTTCTCATTGTTCTATTTCTCAATTTTGGCCAGCTTTGGATTTTTGTGGCGTAGATAGAAACCATAAGATGTTGTTCCCATAGTTAAAACGGGAGATTTAATGGTTCATTTCCATGGTTACCTGCAGATAAAGACATGGAAAACGATACATGGAACTTTAAGTCAATGACAGATGATGATCCAATGGATTTTGGCTTTGACTCACCAGCAAAAAATAAGAAGAATGCCTTCAAGCTGTGAGTGTAACCTATATGATATGCTTCTAAACCATGTTTGCACCTAAGCGAATATAGTTCAATCATGAAATGTTTCCTACTTTATCATGGATTACTACTCTAAGCTGCTGTTGCTTGACAACAAGGCCTAGTGTCTCAAATGGTTCTGTTTCTTTGTCTCTTTCTCAGGGATATGGGTTTTGATCTGGATGGAGATTTTGGATCATCATTTAAAATGGACATGCCAGACTTTGATTTCTCAAGCCCAGCCAAGAAAACCACAAAAACGAAAGAAAGCTCTGATGATAAACCTAGTGGAAATTCAAAACAGAAAAAGAATCCATTTGCCTTCTCTTACGACTTTGATGCGTATGAATCCATCAGTAAATCAATTTCCTTTTAGAGTTATCTATGTCATCTAAAATTACTTAACGCCATGTTATGTTTTTCTGAAAGCAGGTTAGACGACTTTGATCTTGGTTCAAGCCCCCCGAAGAAGGGAAGCAAGACTACGACCAAGACCATGGACTGCGAAGAAATTTCTGCAAGTAGAAAGATTGATAAGTCAGACGATTTGGACTTTGGTCTAGACTTACCAATAACTAGACAAGCTCCCTCCAAGGCAAATACAGATGTTCAGGCAAAAGCTTCAGCTGAAAAAGAGAACCAAAATTCCAAGACTACAGAGACTATGGTTGTTAATAAGAGCACACACTCGAATCAAGCTGCATTAGAGAGCATGGGAGATTTTGAGGCGGTGGAATCACCTCAGGGTTCAAGAAAAAAAACCCCACAAACTCATACAATGTGTGTGCAAGCTCAATCCGTAGATACTTCACCATTGAAGACATCATGTTCAATGGTTGAAGAAATGGATGAACCATGTCCTTCAAATGAGACCGTAGCACCCTCGCCATTACATGCTTCTGAGATTGCACATACTGCAGTAAACAGAGAAACCAGTCCAGATATCCATGAACTCTGCAGGTCTGGTACAAAAGCAGACTGTCCTAGAGATCCAGAAAATGCCAACAAGAAAATGATTTCCACCATGGAATCAAGTTATGAGAAGATAGAACAGACTTCACCAAGCATCTCATCTCAGTTATGTTCAGACAAGATAGAACATCAACAGGAAGAAATGAGTACAGACACTCAGGCAGAAATACAGGATAACACTAAAGGAGCACTGTGTGACCCAGATGCTGGACATTCTCTAATAACCCTCTCAGGCAAAATATCACCAGGCACTCATCCAAGCCAAACTGCCAAGGTACAAGATTTGAGTGAAAAGCTACCACTGGATCCGTCCCACAGGTTAGAAAAAACCAAAACTACTTTTATTATTCCTCAAAAGTTTATGGGTACTTTGTCATTCTGCCAGTAATTTTTGAAGATGAAATATATATCTAACTGCTGTATACTGTAAACTGAGTGCAGCATGCCAGGGCTCAATAATTTGAGGGCCATGCAAAACAAAGATTCAGGACTTATCAGATCCAGATTTTTTAAGAAGCCAGAAAATACAGAATCCCATGTGCTTGAGTCTTCTCCAATTCAAACAGAGATTCAGCCTATTAGCCGAGAAAACATGGGGTCGAGTTTGAACCCTACAAATAATAGGTAGTAGTATTTCTTTTCTTCGTCATCTGTGTAACTATATCTTTTCACTCTTTCCTTTATCTCCAACATGCAGACATGATATTAAAGACGCGTTACCTGGATCCAAAACTAGATCATGTCCAATTGAGCTTGTCAACACGGATTCCGCCAAAAATGCAGCAAATGTTAATACGAGCAGGTACTGTTCTGGGCTTTTATGCTCAAACATAAGAATAAGCTTCTCTCTTTCTTTGGAGATGATATATATAAGCTAAGGAACAAATCCAATTATTTTTACCAGCAGTTCTCATGTAAAGATCATCCACAAGGCCCACTCAAATGCCAAGACTGTAGAAAATGTGGCTGGACAGATGGATCATTTAAAGCTGCAAGCTAAAAATACAACTAGAGAAAAGTCCATCTTGCAGATCAATATAAGGTGAGAAACTCGTTTTAATTTACCTGTTTGCTGATCTCTTGCCATGCTCTTGATTCCTTAAACAGGCTATTAACCCATGTGCACTCATTGTGTATAAGTTACTAGGAAGTTTTATTAGAATGTCATGCATTAAGCTTCCTTGCTTTTGGATTTCTGTCACAGCTCAAAACTCGATGCTTCTAGCTTGACTCAGAAACTAAGCAAACATTTGAGTTCCGGAGCTGAATCTTTGCAGAAGCCCAAAATGATATCTCTCGAAAGGCCTAAACTTGGAAATATTACGGCTGATCTGCGTGCAGTGAAAACTCAAAGGTACAAAAGGAACATACAGCAGTTTCTGTTATGGTATCTCGAGATAGTATATAAATTTAAATTTGCTAATCTCTTCCACTATAGGGCCATTGGAGTAAATATAGACCAACCGAGTTCGGCAGTGCAACCAGAACTTAGCTCTTCCATAAGCAAGGAGAGAAAAACTGAAGCACCAGTAAAAAAGAGCTCTGAGATTCATCATTTGGCTCCTAGGGACAAAACACAAATCCTGCACTGCCCATCTTCTTTAAAGCGGAAAGCTCTTGATGAGGTTTATTCTTCAACTCACAGTTTCGATGTTCTTACTTCATGAACATATTTGGAGCTAGAAAAAAAGTTTGTTGTTCCACAGGATGCAGATAGATCACTGAAGCCACAGCTTAAACGCTTTTCCATGTCTCCAAGAGAAAACAGGTCTCTAGTTTTTGTTATCTAAACATCTATAACTTTGCTTTTTAGTTCTTATATATGACACGCCTGAGATTGCACAGGAACGTTGAGGAGCTCACACATAGAGCTGTGCAAGGAAAGGTTAGATTTACCAACAGATCTGTGATTATTATTATTAGGAAGAGAAGCTTTCTGTGGTTAATTTACCTAACACTTGTCACACAACTGATTTTTCAGTTTTCAAGCCAAGAGAGTAGAATAGATAATACTACAACCAAGGAGCCTGTCAAGGAAAGTCCACAGACTAAGTCTCATTACCAGAACATAAACATGGCAAATCTGGAAATCCCAATCACGGAGAATGCTGACAACATAGAGAAAGCTGAAGCATATACAAAAGAACTCGACAATGTAAGTGTCTATAAATATAAACAGAGCCCTCTTCTTGATCATGAACATTCTCAATATAGTAGAACATTTGTAAACTGCAACTAACTATGCCTTTTTGTTCCATTTGCAGATTTGCAACATCCTGAAGAAGAAACATGAGGAAGCAAAAGAGTTACTTGTCCGTGCTGTAGTAAACAACAATAAGCTACTGATGCTCAACCATCCTTTATATGAAGACCAGATATCCTTTTCATAGACTTTTTTTAATGCCATTGTTAGATTTTGTCTATGTATAGCAGTATATATGAACTGTTTTGTGTGTGTTTCCCCTTAATAATCAGAAACATTCGTATGGTCCAGAAGTTCGCAGCCAAGTTGACTTTAAGGGACACATGATGAACACTCAAACAACTGTTGCTTAAGAGGTAAGAATCTTGACCTTTTCTTTTCTCAGAAACTATCTCAAGAGATTTGATCTGAAGAGTATACTCCGATCGTTCATATCCTGACTTGGTGGTATTGTCCTATATGCACAAGGTTATAGGTTCAGTGGACTTACACCAACAAGTTATCGTCAAAAGTCCAGAAATGTTGACGTCACATTAGTCCAAGGTACTCGATCGTCTCTCTCACTTTGCTGGGGTGGTTAATAAAGAAAAAACGTAGAATTTGGAACATATTAAACTTTGATACTAAACTGATAAACAAATTATGCTTATATCTTTGGGATCCAATTCCTAACACACCATTATAACTGAAGCAATCATGATCCGGAATCCGGAAGAATTAGAAACGGGTTAAATCGGGTAAAGGTCTCACACTATGCATATGCAAGAAAAACATATATGTGCTCAAAATAAAGCCCAATAATAAATTAGTCTTGTTGGGCTCGATTTGATTATTGATATTCTAATATTTTTTTAAATAACAAAACCCGGTAGTTCCCTTCCCTCTTCTTGGCGCACATCCTAAAACAAATGGCGCGTAAAAACCTACCCTGTCTGGTCTCAAAGTCGAAAGTCAATTCTTCTTTTAGTAAAAACAAAACAAAATTTTCGAACCAACATAGAAACAGAGAATCTTCTTAGTTCCCTCCATAACACAGAGCCATTTTTCAAGTTTCAGAATTTTAGAACCATTCTCAAAATCCCTCCACAAAATGAAAACACAAAAAACTTCAAAAATCAAATCTCAGATCCGTGATTTCCAAATCTGGTTCAAAGTCCCTCCTATTCACACACTTCATATACATTTCCTCACTTCCTCCTTCCAACCTCAAATCCATCTCTCTCTCTTTCTTCTCTCTATTCTCTTTCTTTCTCTACTACATCAATGGCGATTGTAGATTCAAAGCCTCAAGACGACAACAAAGAGAATATCACACTCTCACCCTCAGAGATGGTCACCATTTCTGTCAAACCTCTAAATTCTTCATCTATTGATAAAGATAAAACCCAAATCAGAATAAGAAGAAAAAGATCTAGGAAGCCTCTTCAAGACATCACCAACCTCTTTGTCTCGTCATCACAATTGTCCTCTTCGTTTCTGATTCGTCACATTCCCTCTTCTCCATCTCTATCACTTGATCCTAAATGCATGAAGAGAAGATCTGGTGTTGGTCTCAAGGCTGCTACTTCTTCTACCTTATCTTGTAGAAATTTCAGATGATTTTTATATTTTCGAATTTTGTATCATTTTTTTTTTTTAATTATGGGTATTAATCAATACCTTGCCATTAGCATTCATGTACCAGAGAGGATTTATTTCTATGAGTATACTGGTTTCTCAATAATTCTGATTCTTGCATATTATTTGTTCAACATTGCTGTAATTATCATATCCCTGAGTTCAACGAATGGATCTGAATGTTGTATACAGTTGTAACCAAGAACATTTTGAGATGGAAATAAAGTTAGTGATGGCAATTACAATTCAGCTACAGAAGTTGTCTTTAGTATCAAGGCCTGTCCAATAATAGTGATGGTCCGAATTGAAAATATAAAATTGTGGACCATTTTATTTATTTCAAATATTCGGATAAAATACATAAAACTCTCTTGGATATTTCTACAACTCCTGATTACAGTTTTTCTTTCTTTTTACTGTTAAGATTTCAAGTTTATCTTTTTAACTGTCGTCACTAAAGTGTTTTATCCATTGGATAAACAAATTTGCTGACACCATTTATAATGAAATATGGATTTGGATAAGTAATGCTTCAACAGTTAAAAACATAATTACAGAGTCCGAAATGTGATTGGTTCGAAACTTATCCTTTAACTAAATCACTTAGAGCATTTCTATCAGCGGAAACTCTGAAAGTTTCTCAAAAAAAAATAAAATATTATTTTAAAGTTGTAATTTTTTTTTTAATTTTTTTATTAATTAAACCAATAGGATTATGACATGTGACAATGACATCATAAAAGAGTTTCTGAAATGAGAAACGTGTCTGCTTTATTTCCTTTCTCTCTCTTCCTTTTATTATTTTATACTCCCTCTGTCCCAATATATAAGATGTTTGGACTAAAAGCACAAAGATTAAGAAACAATAAATGTTTTCTCAATTATGAAAATTCAACCAATAGAAAAAAATACTGCATAATTAAAATAATTAAAATCTATTAAACTAATATAAATCATGTATTGAAATTAGAGAAAATCTTATATAATGGAACAAATGAAAAGGTCTAAAACATCTTATATATTGGGACATAGGGAGTATTAATTAGTGTCTACTCAAGACATTCCCAATGGAGATGGTCTTAACCTCGACTTAGTGGAATCTTAAACTACAATAACAATACCATCCACACGTCCTGACAAAGGTATTACAGATTATAATACCTTTTTCTCGATTCATTTTTATGGTTGAAACTTTTTTGAATATTCTTCATGTAATGAAATCTCCTGATGAGTGAAATGTGTAAATAGAAAAATAGTGAAAATCTTCGACTAACCAATACAAAACCTACACAAAACCCATAAGTGCACTCGACCTTTGACTTCATTTTCATATTTTACTCACTTTATTTCCTTTTATATCTTATTGGACTTTCATGAATCACCCTCCTCGTCCATTATCATTACCTCGTATTATTAACTCTATCTCTCTCTCTCTCTCTCTCACGAACGTATTATAATATTTGTTTATGCGCATGCATTTATTAATATATAATGTCACTGGATAGGGACGGTCGAGTTATAAATAGTGTAAGGTTTGGTATTCAATATTTTTGCTTTATCGACATATAATTATGTGATTATAATTAGCACTTGAAGCCGTCTCTTATCTCTCTTTTTGACCCTCCAATGTAAAAATACATAAGATTCATATCTTTCTTAATTTTGATGATGTACTAACGGAAAACGACCGTATATAAATGGATAGAACTTTATCCATCTTATTTTAACAATCATTACATTAATTAAGGGTTAGTCTTATTTACTTTTGATCGTGTAAATACTTGTTACGAGATTCGTAGATATTATTTCATAATCGTGGTGACCTAACAAATCACCGAGTGTTTTGAATGGAGGATCGAATGCATGGCTCAATAAGGGTTTGACAATTATTGACACACAGTGACCAGCGATCTTCTGTTAAACGAGATTCGATGGGAAACTCTTATATGTTCAAACTAATATAGTTTCAGATTAAATATTGATTGTATGGAAAATGCATTGTAACCACTGCGATAAATTTTCACCTAGTTTTTTCTCTTCTTCTTTGGGATTAGTATAAAATCCATCCAAGAGACAAGGCCACCTAACAAATCAACTACAAATGTTTAAAAATGGATCGCACATGAGTCTAAAAAAGGGCTTGGCCAATCCTAGGCCCTAACACAATTCAGAATATGTATATATTAAGATGTCGATCGTATTAAATATGTGTAGTACATCGTAATGCGGCAATCTTTATCATTTTTTGTACTATTCAAAGTATCAATTTGCATTTTGCAAGTCGCAAGAGTCACTTGCTAAGCTGGTTATAGATTAAATATGAATATTATAGAAGTTTTTGGTGATGAAGAAAAATGTAGGCAACGAGAAAACCTGTCCTTGGTGACAACTCATGCTTGCACTTGCCATAAGCACTCAAGCCCTAAGCTAGCTATACCTATCAACTACTAGAAAACCATTCAAATAAAACTCTATAAATAGAAACCCTCATGAGATCTCTTCTTTCCTCATATCACGTGAACAACTTCCCAATTTCAATCTACCTCTCTTTCTATTACCTTTCTATATTAGAAACTAAGTAATTGTAATTGTAATTGTAATGGCTAAGTTAAGCTTCAGTTTATGCTTCTTGTTGGTTCTTCTGTTATCCTCAATCGCTGCTGGAAGTCGCCCTCTTGGGCGGGCTCCAGTCGGGGTGAAGGTGAGAGGCCTAAGCCCTTCTATTGAGGCTACAAGTCCGACTGTATCTGATGATCAAGCAGCGGGTGGCAGCAGCAGCCATGGGAAATCGCCAGAGCGGTTAAGCCCTGGAGGACCCGACCCGCAACATCATTAGTTATTTTGTGTTTCCTTTACAATTAAAAGTTGTGTTTTCCATTTCTTCGAGATGTTTAATCAATAATTTGGTTGCAATGAATCTGTTTTTTTTTTTTTTTTTTGTAGTAAAATTGTGAATTTACGTTTGTAATATTATTATAAAAGCTACAGTTTTTTTTTTTTTTTTTTTTTTAAAGCTACAGTTTTATTGATCCATAATTCTAAGTTTCGTTATCGTACGTTAATTAAATGTTCTAAATTTGGTGATTTTACGTTTCAGATTGTATTATATTATTCACCTTTTACTTTTGATATATTATTATATTATTTTGTACTTTTACTATTTATATAGCAACGCGGTACGTATGACGTCGATTTACATGGTCCTGCATGTACCTATGATTCTGTTTGACGATTATATCGTGTTTTATATATATGCCGATTATGACTAGTGTATGTTTTAAACAATTACTAAAACAAACAAATATGTGTTTGTTTTTCTAACGGACAAAACAGTAGTGTGGAAGGAAAGTACAATTTAGGATCTAGATGCATGGTCAATTGCATATATGTATAGGATCGATTTCGTCCCATAACTACTAGTGTTTTAAATTGATCGTTCTTTGGTCGTCGAAACCATGTCATCTTGTTGTTCCTTTTCGTCTTTGCTTTTGATCAAACATTGTAAGAATATTGATATCTATGAATCGAGGCAGTTTACATATTTTGGGGGGTTTGTTTATTTATTATTATTATTGGTTTTAATTGGGGGGTTTATTTCAAGTGTGTAAACTTGAAAATTTCAAAATTGTAACAAAGGACTTTTTTGAATAAATTTTACATTAATTAAAAAAAAAAAAAAATCAACATGTCTATGTTAATTATGTATATGGCTATTTTACTTTAAGCGTTTGCTCCATCGATTTTTCTAAGAAAGATTTGCAAAATAATCTATAAGAAATATTTAATTAATTATGCTTTACAGTAAACCAAACACCTAATAGTACTATGATCGTCCCATGGATGAAATGTCATGATGACTTATGAGTGAGAAAGACAGATTCCGATGAAAAATCATATGCGCATCAAAAGTAAACTAATTAAAACAATTGAACATTATAAGCATATAATAAGATAACGAAAAAAGCATCGACCAGCTAACGAACGTGAAGACCAAAATGGAGGATTATTCGGCTGTAAATGGCATCATATAATAAAATCTTTTTTATCGACGAACAAAAGACGGCAAACGTGAAGCATTCTTTTTTGGTTAAAAGCAAATCGTATTTTTATGAGTAACGCCAAAACCTAATGACTTATCACACGACCAAAATGGACCCTAGTAGCTTTTCCTTTTCTGTTTAATATAGATTCATATATCATGCAAAAAGATATTATAAGCATCGTGACCTTAATTCTTATCATTATAGTACACATACGCACGATTTGGATTTTATACAAATGCGGCATTGAGGCAATGAACATAAAAACAAAGTTTCATCTATTTAATCATCCTTTTAAATATTTATTCAATAACTAGCACTTTCATATATTGATTTTCTACAAAATATTCATGATATAACAAAAAAAATTGATTGTTCATAGACGAAGAAAATCTTTGCCATATGTAAAACTAAAAGTAAAGAGTTTTGAACTCAAAACAAGTTGACAATAATTAGAGTTATATATTGATTGAATTATCTTCAGTTCCAGCGTGAGATATTATTACAATCATCACTTATTATAGTGACGGAAAACATAAACTTGTTGAAATTATCGACGTTTTTTTTTTTTTTTTTGAATATCTGGAAATTCAAGCATGAAAGCCTACATTTTCCAGAGGCGGGATCCACACCAAGTTAAATTCATCTCCTTCGGAGAAGAAGTCCCTCCCAACGGGCGTCGAACCCAATACCTCCACCTGGGAGATTTACCACTGGGCCAATATCGACGTATTTTTTCAAATATGTTTTTAAGTTTTTTAAGAAATTTTATGAAGTTTTATAAAAAAACATTAAAACCGATGTTTCTAACAAAGTTTATTGTATACAAACAACATTGTAAGCATAACCATACGGGTTTTAGGTTGTAACCAATTTTTTGTCTTGCAACTCATATGTTTTGGCAATTTTCAAAACTAATTTTCACAAATTTCTCATTAAAACAAATGTTCATCCTTATTATCAATTACAATGGCCAATTTCAAATGCTTTCTATTTTCATCTTAAATCGAGAAATGCGGAAATCTAACCTTTAACACTAAAATTTTCAACCCAAGTATAAATTAACTCAGAATTCTAAACTCTACTTAGCTTTTAAACTTATGAAAATAGTGACGATGTGACAGTTGTGGCATAAAAAGTGTACTACATAAACTTATACATAAAACTTAATTAGAAAGAAACAGAGAAATGAATGAAAATAAAAACTCGTTTAAGGGTACATTTGTTTAAGAAAACTGAAAATGTTATATCGCAAAGAGATTATGAGAGAAGGTTATCCACATAAATTCAATTACTAAAAAGAATTATCTACCCTAATTCTATATAAATCTTAAGAATTTTTTTAATTAATATAAAGTATATAAGATGATAGTACATCAATTTGTATAGCTTTAGTTTTAAAACACAATCAAATATATTAGTATATTACTAAGCACAAAGATTAGTAGGCACCTTTATAGTATATACTTTATAGGGTATAAACTTGTGTGTACAATCATACTAAAAATAAGGCATAACATAATAAATATATAAGTAGTTTAGGCATTTTACATCATTTGAAAGACAAAATGTTTTCACAATAGAATAAAACAGTACTATGAAGGGGCAGGTAGTTGGTAATATAAAATTTTGGTCTATTAACTAGTATAGATACGAATCGAAATAGTCAATAATCAACACAAATTCAAAGGTTCTTATCCGGCACTTAAGATTATCTAAGCATTAATTAAGATGGAAAGATCAAAGATTTAATTAGGATGAGAATATGAACATCAAAAGGCCATAAACTAGAGGCAGCAAATCGGTTCATTGTGCCAAAGTGGGGACCTATAATGTGCATTCTAATTCAAGAAAGAGATGATCATTACCTAAATTGAAAATGTAAATCATATTTCTAAAAGTAAAGGGACTTCCTTTAAAATTTGATCCTCTACTATATATAGTCTATATATAGCATATTATTATCATCAAAAATAATTGTTTAAAGATTCAACTTTAGACGATTGATTAAAATACTATTAATTACATAGTGCGTTCAAATTATTAGTAAACAAAATCCAACCATATAATAATTTCTTACTTTACTGGCACCTCAACTAAAATTTTTATTATTATTATCTAGATTTATTATTTATTGTAAATTATGAGAACGGTTATATAAACGACTCTACCACGGACAATTCATTCCGACCCTTATTGAATCTACGAGATATAACACTTCTTTCTCCATGTTTTTGATGGACACCTTCAAAGATCTACGATTTGACGACTCTTCTTTCCCTACATAAAATCCTAGCAAACGGCTATAATTGTACGTCGCTAAAAAAAATTTTGCACACTAACCTTCATAATTTGCAAAAGCAGTAATTGACCAATGGGCAAAAAAGCTTCCACAAATCTTTTATTTTAGTCGTCAAATCAAACGATTAAAAAATATGGATTCATTCGAGCAAATGGAAATATGTGACTAAGGCCCATATATCTATTTTGGAAAAGCCCATTAAAACTAGGTTCTAAACATTGAAAGAATTATGAATATGATAAAAATTATTCATGACACATAATAATATCTTTTTTTACAAAAATATCTTTTTATTTTGACACCAATAGTTTTCCTATAGATTTTTCTATACTTGACCATGTGTCCTATTCTTATTCATTATAAAAGCACTATTTGTGATGTTAAAAAAAAAACAAATCTTTGCATTGGCTAATTGCAAAGATGAAATCTTCGAATCTTTATATCCTGACATGAAATTTGTACATTTGGTGCTATTGTGGAACGCATCTTTTTCATAAACTTTATCATATAAGAAAGAACTTGAAAAAAGAGATTATAAAGAAGAAAGATCAAGAGGTCTCCAAGTAACAAGTTGCAGAAGATTCAGCTTCATCGAGCTCAATATCTCCACAAGTAGAGAGAATTGTTGCAAATATATAATCATCAACCTCAAATCCCTCTGCCTCCATTCTATACATTAGCTTCAATGCTTCCCTGCAAAACCCATTCCTCGCGTAACCCATTATCATTGCCTTCCATGAAACCAAGTTCTTCTCAGGCATACTGTCGAAAACCCGAAAAGCTTCCGAGACGAATCCACATTTTGCATACATATGAATCAAAGCACTTCCCACAAAGACATTTGATAGAGCATGATTCTTCTTTGCAATGGAATGGATTGATCTGCCGATTAGAAGAGATTCTGAATTCGCACAAGCTTTTAAAGCCGAGGAATATGTAAATGGGTTTGGCTCTACACCATCTTGAATCATCTCTTTCAAGAAGTCTAGCGCTTCTGATTCGTGTCCTAAGCTCGAACATCCAGAGATCATAGCGGTCCATGAAACCACATCTCTAGATGGCAACTGCTGGAGAACATTGAAAGCGTCACGGGATTCTCCGCATTTACAATACAGCCAAACCAAAGTACTTCCTATATAGACATTCTTTTCGATCGAATTCTTGATTATCTGCGCATGAAGTTCCTTCCCCAACAATAAAGCCCCAACAGACCCACACGCTCTAAGGATGCTTACTACTGTCAAATTGTTAGCAATCAAATGCCGCCTCTTCATTACCCGAAAGAGACTGATAGCTTCCTCACCAAAACCTTCCCGAGCATGTGCAGCTATGATCGAAGTCCATGTGACCGTGTTTCTATTGCTCATTCCATCAAACACTTTTCTGCAATCAGAAATCTCCCCGCATTTAGCATACATGTCCATCAGCGAAGTTCCTACGAAAACATCTGTCTTAATCATCCTTTTAACAACCAAGCTGTGTACTTGCCTTCCAAATCTTATCGCTTTCTCCTCACTACAAGCCTTCAAAATACTGCATACCGTAAACTCGTTAGGTAAAAACCCGTGATTCAACATTCCGATAAACATGACAATGGCTTTATTCCCATGCCCTTTCCTTGAACAAGCCGAAATAACCGCTGTCCAAGATATCACATCTTTCTCCTCCATCATATCAAAAGCTCGTAACGCACTTGTCAATTCACCACATTGCGCATAAAAATAAACAAGAGAACTCTCCACAATAAGATTTCCCACTCCAACTTTCACCATATTACCATGAACCTGTCTCCCTAACTCAAACTCTGATCTCCTACTACACAGATTCAACAAACACACAAACATCCTCTCGTTCGTAAAACGTATTCCATGCTTCACATAGTCTTCAAACAATGCAAAAGCCTCATCCTCAAGACCAAACTTCAAATACCCATCAATCATCGCAGTCCAAGTAACAGTATTTCTGTCAGGCATACTGTCGAACACTTTACGTGCATAAACCAAATCCCCAAGTCTCACACAAGAACTAATCAAATTGTTCCCAAAATAGATAACTTGATCATCAAAACACTTCAACGCCATCGCGTGAATCCTTTTAATGAGTCGCATCCCATTAGAAGACTGAAGCCACTCCGCTAACAGAGCATAATCCACTCGTTCGCTATCAAAAGAAGATAAATCATCGTGATTCACAGTTTCTCCTTTAAACTGTTGTAAACCACTAAAACCCAAATCGAAAGATGCTCTCTTTCCAGAAACTAGTCGAAACCCAGATAATCTTCCGTTCCTCTGTTCCTCTCGCTTAGTTCTTGAATCGCTACTGTAACATATCGTCGGAGATTTGAAGGTTTGCGTTACCGGAATCTCTGAAATCCGGAGACGCGGTTGAATTAACGATAACGAAAACATCGGCGATGGAGATAGAGAAGAAGCTTCACAAAAATCTCCCGCCGGAAGATTCAGATAAAGTTCTCTTTTTTAGTTTTTGACTTTTTGTAAAGAGAATTAAAAGTTTTTAAATTTTATCTGATCTTGAAATTAATGACGACAACAAATAATATCTCGGTCGGTTTCAAATTAAGACAAATATACACACACGACTTAAATGAAATAAAATAAAAATATTATATCCAATTAAAATAAAACACGTGTCTCGCCACTTACCACTTTCCTCTCTGTATTTGTCTCAAAACCCTTGAAATTGCTACACGATCTCAGAAACGTGTCTCTCTGACTTCAATCTTCTTCATCAATTCCTTAGATTCCGTTTCTTAAAGTGTTCATCTTTTTACATCTTTCAGCTTAAATTTATCACTTCCGTTTCTGTGTTTTATGAAGCACCTGGGCAAATGAAGCTTTAGCTAAGCATTGTTTAACGAAACTCAGAAGAAAAAAACAGAATCTTTATTTTTTTAAAGCTTCGAAATTGGAGAAGAGAATTTAGAACGACCAAGTTCGGTATATTCGTTTCTTCATCTTCTTCTACTTTGGTCTCTTCCTCTTCTCTCTCGAAAAGGGTTTATTCTCTGTCACAAAAGAAAACCTTTTTGAGAGGGGAAAAAAGGTTCAATTTTCAGAGAAACCCAAAAGGCAGAAACAGAGAAATCAAATTCACCTAATTCATGAAACAGGTGAGGGATAAAGCTTTTCTTCTTCCTTCGTCTTCTTTTTACTGAATTCATATCTCTAATTTTTTGTGTCTATGGTTGGTTAATTGTTGACGATGATGAATTAGTTAATTATCTGATTGCTTCTCATTTCTTCTTACATGTTTTAGGAATTGTTTAGCAATATATTCTTCTCCTGTCAATTTAGAGGAAAATCTACAAAATCTCTGTCAATTCATTTTTTCCAAATTGACCTCATTGTGTCTTATTGAATCAAATAATTATTTTCAGATAATCCACATACTGCTTATAGTTTATTACCTGATTCGAGATTCTGATATATGATTTAAAGCCTCTGTCTCCAAGCTCTGTTCTTTTTTCTTTCTCTGAAGAAGCATCATTATCAATTCTATAAATTGCAGGGTTCAATGAATAGATCGTGTCTCTGTAGTGTCTTAATCACCGCTGCTCTGATTTGTGGTGCTTACTTCATTGGCAATGCTTATCTTGCTAAAGACTTTAAAGAGGTAAATCTCTTTTGTGTTGGATTGTTCTGTTGTTTTTTGTGTAATCAGTAGTGTTTTCCGACATGTGAATAACATGACATTGTTGACTAATTCTGGTTATAAAGTCAACAATAGATCAATAAGTCTATTAGCACAATAAAGTATTCTGATTTTGATGTATAAGATTATAAACATTTACAGAAATTGCTAAGATGGGAAATCACTGATAAGATGCATAACATCACTGATAAGAACCAGAATGCAACATCAACCAGTACATGCGAGGTTTGTCTTCGAAGAATATATTCAAGTTTTTTTTTATTTGAGGTTGTTTTATGAGATTTCTTTGATATTAAACTTACAAATATAAATCTTTCACTAGAATTTGAATAAGCCAGTGGGTACTGAAGCACTACCACAAGAAATTATCGTAAAAACATCGAACCTGGAAACACAACATCTATGGAACTACGATGACACAAAAAAGGTTGTTTAGGAGTTACACGGTTCCTCAAAGATTTGTAAAGTTTCACGGCTTCTTCTTTTTTCGAGTAGATTAATCTTTCGTTGTATATTTCTTTCAGAGAAGGCCTAACCGTTCGATGAGTTTGTTAGCCATGGCAGTCGGAATCAAGCAAAAGGAGCTAGTTAACAAAGTTATCCAAAAGGTCTTGTCTTGTCTTTTGATTGTTTCTATCAGTAAGATTTTCGCCTTTTTGTGTCGATTATTCATACAAAGTTGCTGTGATTTCAGTTTCCTCCTCGAGAATTTGCGGTTATGCTTTTTCATTATGATGGTGTTGTCGACGATTGGAAGCAGTATCCATGGAATGAGCATGCGATTCATGTTTCGGTGATGAATCAAACAAAATGGTCAGTTTCTTGAAAGTCTTGTTATTATTTTCGTCAACCATCATATATTATCTAATAATTGAATGTTAATGTCACAGGTGGTTCGCCAAGCGATTCTTGCATCCTGATATAGTTGCAGAGTATGAGTATATATTTCTTTGGGACGAAGATCTTGGTGTAGGTCATTTCAATCCGCAACGGTAATCCGCCAAATTTAGGATTTGTTTATATTATTATTTTCCTCATTTTTCATTTCCATGATGAAATCATTTTATTTTAGATACCTATCTATTGTCAAAGAAGAGGGGCTTCAGATATCACAACCCGCTCTCGACACTTCAAAATCAGAAGTGCATCATCCTATAACTGCTCGTCGAAAAAAATCAAAAGTTCATAGAAGGATGTATAAATACAAAGGTAGCGGGCGATGTGATGACCATAGCACCAATCCTCCCTGCATCGGGTAATAGCTTTTTGCAAATTCCGGGAATGTTTTTGGAACTCTCTTTCTACCTCATTTTCCCGGTTAACATGTAACTTGGATCCGCAGGTGGGTAGAAATGATGGCACCTGTTTTCTCTAGAGCAGCATGGAGATGTTCTTGGTATATGATTCAGGTAACATTTGTGTATATATATCTCAGCCTTCTTTTTTTGTTCTTCGAGTCGATAGAATTAGGTTTGTCTTTGGGGGTTTAATGTTTTCGTTTTCGTTGCAGAATGATTTGATCCATGCTTGGGGTCTGGATACACAGCTTGGTTATTGTGCTCAAGTTGGTTTCTTCTTCTAACTCCTTTTTTCGTAACTTCCTTCATTGCACGGTTTTTATTAACATGTTCTTGGTTGCGGATAGGGTGATCGAAAGAAAAATGTTGGTGTTGTTGATGCGGAGTACATAATTCATTATGGTCTTCCTACGCTCGGTGTGGTTGAAACCACTTCAAGCTCTTTGCGGAACGAGACAGACTCGAAATCAACGGTACGCTCTACTAGTGTTTTCAATATGTTTCTTGAAGCAGTTATGTTTTATGATTGCATGAAACAAATTGTTTGAGATTTCACAGGAATCATTAGAGTCTCGTGAAGTGGATAATAGACCAGAAGTGAGGATGAAATCATTTGTAGAGATGAAGAGATTCAAGGAACGTTGGAAGAAAGCTGTTAGAGATGATAGATGTTGGGTCGATCCGTATTGAAACCTGAGCGGTTTAAGTAAACCGAACCAAACCGGATTATTTTCCTTGTTGAGTGCTTTGTGGTCGGTCCACTGTATACCATTATTTGGTACATAGATTTTGTTGTACTTGGAAAAAAAATCAGTGTATTTATGTGTTTTATGGACCACAGTAGATTTAAGATTTTGTAGCATTTTACAAAAGTGTTTTTGTACTAGCAAAATATTTGATAATTATACATAAATATACAAAAGTGTTTTTGTACTATATATCTTTTATTTTAGAAACCAATAAAATTTATGTGAAAATAACAAATCCTGTTTCTAAAGTTAGAAAGATTGACAATTGGTTAATTCTCGTAATGGTTTAATTTATAAGAATCTATAGGATTTGATAAAACAAATATGAATAGTAAAGAAAATATAATTGTCGAAAAAATAGAGCAATATTTTCATTAGAAACTACAGAATCAAGAATTCAACTAGAATAAAATGTAAAAATATTCTGAAAGTTAACTTAATGTATAATGATTAAAATACACCAAGTATCATCTAAGTATGGTAACTTTCTGTATGGTAGTAATCCTATACTATTATTTGGGGAGTACACTTTATAAGATACCCTTAACTAACCTTCCTTTTTGTAAGAATTTACTTAAGAATGCCATTACAAAAAAAAAATTTTAGAACAAATTTCATTCAATTTGTTAAGGATAAACAAGTAAAATACTAATTTATGTCATTTAATTAATTTAATTAAATTATAAAACGAAAATTTGTTTTTTTTTGTTTTTTTAAATGACCAATCAAAATGAACATATAAGATTTGATATCTAACTTACCATATTAATTTGTTATTAATCATTAAACTTCACCTCTCATCTTTATATGATTATATTAATATGAAACAAATAAATCATCATATCATCTACATAATAAAAAAAAAAGTAATTTTTTTTCTGCATATGCCAAGATTTGATTTTTTAAAAACGCATATAAATTGTTCAATCTATAAAGGAAACAATTAAACGGGTCAAAAATTCCGACTGAGTAAGGGGTCAGAATTTGAATATTTATATTCGATTTCATACATTTATTTTTTTGAAATGTATAATTTTATATACTACAATAAAAATTTAAATATTTTAATTTGCAACATTTAAAATAAGTTTTACTTGATATTTTTAGAGAATATCATCAATACTTAATAGTTCAAAAAGTTAAAAATTAGAAATACTCTAATTTGATTATTTTTAAAAATATTATAATAGGTAGCGGGTTAAATATAATATATTATATGATGAAATGAGTTTTGATCCTTATAACTATTTGAATAGTTATATTTAATTTCATATAATTTGTTTTTTGAAATTCATAATTTTATAAACTACAAAAAAAAAATTAAAGATTTTAATTTGGAATATTTAGAAATAGTGTAGAACATTTAAATATGGTTTGACACCTCTAAATATTTGAAAATTTGATTCCGCAAGCAATTTTAGAATTAACGAATAATATATTGTGCACACAATATTTTAAAATGAAATATTGAGATTCTGAAATAAAAATATAGACTCCACGCACGGGTTGATTTTGGTATTATTATATACTAAATATATGTTTATAACATATTCGATTATGCGTATAATTGGTAAATTCCGTTATTATAAATCTCAAACAAATTCTGTAATTAGATTAGCTCAAACAAATCTCTATTTCAACAACCAAAGAATTATAAGTTGAAAAAGAATTTTCTAAATTAATTTAAAATAATAGCTAATTTTCTTAATTAATTCAAAATAATCTATGTTTTATATGCGATTCATTTATGATATTTTAATTTTTGATCTAACTGAAATATATGCAATCATATTTTGTGGTTGTTAACATAAATTAACTCATTGTTCAAAAAATATTACTTTTTAAAAATAAAATTATTTTTCGTTTTCATATCTTAAAAAAAAAATTATCCATAATTGAGTATTATAGAACAAATTCTATATTTATTCTAATATTGTATATAGGGACTGACAAAAAATTAATATTTTTTCACTTACTATTATAATATATTAAAACTTAGTTCTAATATATATATTATATAAATTTTGTAATAAATAAAATTTAACCCGTACTTTAGTACGGGTGATGATCTAGTTTCTTTATACTTAAAGATCAAAACCATTTATGTTATTCTAATTTTTAGTAGTATTTTGTTTTGACCATATCATTCAATAGCTCAGATCTCATGAATTTGGAATTGATCAAATCTTGTATATATAATGAGATCTGAGAAGTCAAAGTCGCACTGTTTTGTTTAGATGTAGAACTCATCATATATAGGTCAAACATCTTCATTTTTTTTATTTTTTGACCAAAGTCAAACATCTTCATAATCTTCTTTTTTATATAAAATTTGGCGACTTTCATAGTTTGGCTCAACGCTATTTAATTTTTTTGGGTGTAAGCTAACAAACTCATTATCACTCATGAAAAGGTCTTATCTTATTAATTCATCATAACTCTTGATAAGATTTCATTTATTACGAAAATATACAATTAAAGTTTACATCATTGTTAAATAACAGACAAATAATAAAAAACAGAGAAATTAAATAACCAAAAAAAGAAGTAATTTAAGAATCCCAAATAGGACCAAAAGCAGGAACACCAGAAGCCTTACAAGCATTAACAACATCACGACTTCCTTCAGGATTGCTTGTAACAATCACAACTTGAGCACCAAACTTCTTGGAAGCTTCCACGCTCATTTCCGACACATTAGGTCGTCCTAGAATCGCAGTATCGTGAACTATGATCCTGTCTTGATGAGGATAATCTTTAATCCTATTCACAATCTCCGACCCGAAATTATCATCTAAACCTTTAGCCACCCATATGAAATATACCTCAGCCTTACTCGGTTGCATTAGAAACGATAAAAATACGCAAATCCCTGAACCCGTGGCCACAAGTAATACCTGTAGTGAAAAAAAGAAGAAATATTTTTAGTTTAGTAGCAGTCAAAATATTCAACAAACATCAAACAAACTGTTAAAATCTGTTAGTAGTAAAACCCTAGGGGAGTTTTATTTACCTTGTCATACAAGTTAACGAGGTAGGGTAAGCCGGCAAAGTGAACTGTACGAACCCATAAATGCGTTGGAGGTTTTGAGACTAAGGACTTGGTGAAGTCGCCGACAGCACCAGCCAACATCATGTGCGATGTTTTCCCATCGGAGATTATCCCAAAAGCATGCCATTCCGATAATGGCGATGGACTGATCCGACCCAAGATCCCTGATTTCACGCCTCCTCTGAATTTGATCAGCGACGCGTGGCCCGATAGAGATGATACGTCAACTGGAACGCGTCTCACAGTTAACCAAGGGAGCAGAATCGCCACTGTGATAGTTAACGTAAACCAAAATTCTTGCGTTTTGATCAGTTTCGAGCCGAGATCATCTGTGTAAGATCTTGACTTAGGATCGTAGGAAATCGTTAGAATTATAAACGCCCAAACAAGGCCTAAAGCAGTCCAACCGGCGAATCTGTGGACGCGTTCAAAGACGTTGTGGTGTAAATGGCGAACAAGAGGGAACGCAGCTGCAGAAGTGAGGCAGAGGAGAGAGAGAATCGTGGACGCAACCGCTATGATCGCTGTTGAAGTGTTGTCTCTGTCTTTAAGAGTGAGAACCAATGCGTAGATGAGCCAAGCTATCGAGGAAACGCCGCAGCCGCTGTGGATACCACCGAGGCTTTGTAACAGCGATGTGACCATGATTTTGATGCGGAGAGGGACAAAGGAACGTCCGAGGAGGTTTACGGTTAGGTAGAAAACGAGTCTCAAGAAAGCTTCGCTTCTGCAGAGAGTTAGGGCAAGAATGTTGGCGATAGAAAACAGAGCTGCTCTGTTTCTAGCGTAAGCGAAATTTCCCGTGGCCGCGAGAACGAGGGCTAGGACGTTCAGAAACAATGAAAGAACAAAGAGACGTTTGTAAACGGTGAACAATCCTTGATCAAGAAGTATGATGGATAGTCTTGAAGCGCGTTTCTTTGGAACCGGTGGTTGCTGCGGTTTCTCGCTGTGTTTGCTTGCGGAAGAAGCAAGGATTGCCTTCTCGTCCGTCTCACTATGTTCTTCGTTTCCTTCTTTGATACCACCTTCTTCTAAGTAGAAAATATCATCTTTTCCTTCTTCTTCCTCGTTGTCGGAGTCCAAATCGCAGAAATGACTGCTTGCTCGGCTCATGGAGTGTTGAATCGATGAAGGGAAAACTTTTGAAGTGTTTCTCATGAAATCCCATGGAAGTCGAAACCTGCTGCTCGTTCCCTCGCGTTCAGCGTTTGCATAGCGGTTTTGATCAGTTGTAACGACAGCAAAAGGGTTTGCATGAGGTTTAATCTCAAAAGCAACTCCTCGACAGCTAGAGAATCTCACGGTCGAAGCGTTTTCCATTTTGTTATCTCTTTTGTTGGTTTAGATTAAGAAGGAGAAAAAGAAAGGAGGATGACTTAAGACACAAGGCAAGAATGAGTTTATAGAGCTCTGATTGTTTGGTATTAGCCTTAGGGATTGTTCATGAAGAGCATGCCTTTTTATATAATAATTTGGTATTGCCATATTCAAATTTTAATCATTGACTCAGACAAAAACCTTCGTTTTCACGTCATTTCTATATCATTTTGTTAATGTTGGACCGTGAGAGTTCTATTTTGTATGTCTTCAATTGACTCTGACCTGGAAAGCTTTGAAATTGTCAAATAACACACTTATTGTGATCGAGAAACGTAACTCTGAGTACATTCATATTATAAATATGTTTAACGTAAATTTGGAGGATTTAGTCTTTGAAATTTGACCGTGATATATATATTTTACTGATTTGTACTACAAGTTGTCAATGGTGCAGTGTTGTTATATAACCCGTATTCAAATCTAATAATGTGTGTGAGTAACTATATATCTTAAATTTGTTGCTATTCTTCTTTACTTTTTTACTTGACCAAAAGATAGCGATAGTTTCATCACTAAGTTACCACTTTGTCACGCCCAAAATTGGAATCGGTGCGTGACAACTTGCTCACTTACCATCCATATTTAAAATTGCAGTATAAATGTTGTGAAAGACGAAAAAACTAACCATATGTTTTGTTTTTTCTAGTCTCTCTCTCGACATTTAATCCACGACGTGTGAGACTACACACATGGTCACATGATGTGAAACTCACATGATGTGCCACTGGACGAGAATTTTCAAACTACTTCATTTTTATAATTAAAGACTTTAACCATAAAATGCAAGTGGCATTGACATTTATTAGCCAAAATGTTTGATTATTGCTTTAGTCGTGGATAGTTTGATTATGTGAAGCCGTTTGACTGAGTCAAACCCTAAGAATAGAATCATTAAAATCTTTTTAATCAAACGTAATTGTACTCTAGGTCTCTAGCTACGTTGCAGTTGAACTCATTATACGAGTGGTTAAACACTGATGCAAACTATTAAAATGCAAATGACATATAAACCGAATCTCAAATGTAAGAATCCAAACCAGTTACAGTACTTCAAAATAAAATCGAGAATTGGAATCTTTTTTTTTTTGTAAGAATGAAGAAACTAACAGCAATTTCTTGAAATAAATGGATTGGATTTTCGATATTTAAAATATTAAATAGATAAAAATACTAAGTTAAATATATTAGAAAACAATTACAGTATTTTTCCAAACATCAAACTTGACCAAAGAAAAAAAAAATCAGAAATCGAAATTGAAATTTTCATTATCATCAATCTCATGGTCCAGTAACTTCCAAGACCAATCGACTTGTTGGACCGTACCTTTATTTTTAAGAACCCTCCATTTCCATGGGACCATACACTCGTCTTTTAACCCATCCACTCATTTATTGTTATTGACCATTCCGTGCAAGAGCGTCTATGTATTGTGACTTTCTTGTGTCGTCTATTAGAAGCTCTTCTCCAACCTCGGCGTAACCTAACGGTGAATAGATTAGAATCACGTCCGGTTACACTTTAGGTTATCCATAACACTTTTGGAAATCTTCTAATCTGTCTTTAATTCCAATATATATATAAGTCAGTAAGTCACATTTCATTTGAATGATATTGGTTATTGTTGGTGCCAATCATATGGACCTATGAGCTATGCCAGTAATCTCTGTCTAATTTACTTTAAAAGAATATGGACGCGTATATTCAATATTGTTTCTGCAAAAACACACAAATATTAAAGGAAAATACTACTGACAATCTTTCTTTTTTTTTTGGTTAGGTGGAAAATACTGTATATCTAAGACCCGTAAATCGCAATAAAAAGTCATTCACTGATACTCTAAATAAAATTGGAGATAAAACATATATATATATATATATATATATATACCGTTAATTTAAGGATAAACAACAAATGATCACCTCACCAAAAAAAAACAACAAATGATCACCGCACCAAAAAAAACAAATGATCAAACTTTGTAGATTGAGATTAGATCTAATCGAGATCATTGTGATTTAAATCAACATTAGTTCCGCATGCGTCAAAATCAAAAGTTATTACAGGTTTTGCAGCTAGGGATCCCGGTTATAAGAGCATCTACATTGGTGGTCTTTTAGTGGATATCTTAGGATTTAAATAATAAAAAATAATTTAAAAGTAAAAGAGATACTTAAAACTTCAGCTTTTAACATATTTAGCTGACAGTTGTCTTCGAGTGACTGGTTTAGATTTTTTTAAAAATTAAATTTTAAATAAACAACTAAAACTAATAAAATAATATATTTTAGATACCCAATGGGTTTTGCCGATGGAAAAGCTCTAACAAACAAAAAATGAATTCTTTAAGCTAGAAAAAATTTAAAAAATAACAAAAACATTGCGACATTCATTTGGTAGTAATAAAGAAAAAGAATAAAATACAACGTTAAATAGATGAAAAATATAGTATTTTTCCAAACATCAACACTTCACAAAGAAAAAATGACCAGAAAATCAGAAATCCAAATCTTCATTATCATCAATCTCATGGTCCAATAACTTCCAAGACCCATCGTCTTCTTGGACCATACCTTTGTTTTTAAGAACCCTCCATTTCGCTGGGACCATGTACTCGTCTTTTAAGCCATCGACTGATTTGTTGACCAATCCGATGGCTCTTTTCACATCGAGTCTGAATAAGTCAGCTTTGGCCGTTCCTTGAGTCCCTGCAACGCCGTGCAAGTAAGCCTCTAGGCAGTGAAAGGTCGCGAGGTTTCCAGGAGATTTCATGTATTGTGACTTTCTTGTGTCTATTGGAAACTCGTCTCCCACCTCTGAGTAACCTATCGGTGGATAGATTGGAATTACGTCCGGTAGATTCCTTGTCCGTAACACTCGGATATCTTCCAATCTGTTTTTGATTGCATTATAAGTCATGTTTCATTTGAAATGATTGTATTATATAAAGTATTTATATGGACGTACCCGGAGAAGAGTTTCTTAAAGTCTGAATCCCCAACACGAGGACTAGCAAAGACAAAGGCCGTAACTGGACAAGACTTGTCAGGACGGCTTTTTGGTCGGTTATAACCATTAGCCACAATATCCGTAGCATTAAGCGTTGCCAGTGCAGCTCCAAGACTATGACCACAGATAGTTATACTAACTTCTTCGTCCTTATACTTCTCCAACAATCTCCCAAGCTCTCGCAATACCTATTTTGTTATGTTCTCAGATACTTTTGCAAACAATACCAAAATGGTAAAATCTTCATTCGAAAAGTTGTATATATACGTACCTGGTCACGAGCATTGGCCTTAGTAAAAGGTGATCGTTCATCTTGAGACATGTAGATTGAATACCAACCTTGATGAATTTGTACTTGATCGTTTTTCTCACCGAAGATTTTTTTGGCGTTGACTAAACCGAACTCGAAGTCGTTGACCCATTCAAGTGGTTGTACTGAGCCTCTCCAAGCGACCACGATATCTCTCCGACCAAGAAGCGCCGTGCCTTGGTCGTCTGTTACTGCCACGTAACCCATCCAATTTGATTCCTTTGTCCATCCCTCACGTGAAACTGGGAACAACAGAAATGATTCAGGCACGTGGATCTCGGATGTTGCGTATAGAAACTTCGTCACTTTGTACTTTGTGTACGGATGTGCTTTCTCTAAACCAACCTGTGTTTTAAGAATCAACAAATGTTTGCTTTAGGTTTCTTGCGTAAGAAGAAAAGGGTTTGCTTTAGGTTTCTTGCGTAAGAAGAAAGTACCTTCGATTAGTGACATTGATATAATCGTAAAAGAAAATTTGGGTGAGTGAAATATAGTATATGCGCTTAATTCCATTAAGATTATTTCATTATATTCTCCATATTTTTGTTTTTTTACATTTCACGATTGCATAAATGAGGGGATTTTTTCAATAAAACATAAGTCACCTACTCAATTACATGACAAGAAAAAATTCCATATTTCACGGTTCCAGAGATTATCAATCAGAACGTTTAATTTATATGTAATTTGTGTTTTTTCATGTTACCTTGGCGAAGAAGTCTTTTCTAGAGTAGATGCTAGCGCCGGCGAACTGAGAGTCGGTGTTGATATTGAAAGTATCGTAACCAGCCTGAGCCATCTCGCCGTAATGTATGATATATTCCCGGAGATCTTGATCCAACGGCTGTAACATCCCTTTCCAATGGTTTTGACCGCTCAGATCTCTCCATCTTTTTGCAAATTCTCTAGACACTATCAACTTCTCCTCCTCCTCTTTCTTCTTCCTCTTCATGATTCTCTTGAAGCTAAAACACTTCGTCACTTTCTTGTCTTCTTCCTCCATAATCTTTAAGATATCTCTAATGAATGTTTATTTTTTCTAGGTAATAAGGATCAGAGAAGCTCTTTGGATCGAATTAATAATTATGTTGGAAAATAAAAACAGTAGAGAGAGATACTATATGGTTGAATGATATAAATATTCGTTCGCGTATTTTAGGCGTGTTGCAGAGGAAGTATCGTTCTCGATATGGTATTAAATATAAAATATTTTTTATTTGATAAACAAAAAAGTTGGTTTCTTAATTTATCCGAAAAGATGTCCTTTTAACGTTTAAGGAAAGCAATAGCTCACCTTTGCAATCAACATACGAATAATTCCTTTCTTTTCTTTTAATCTTTTTTTTTTTCCACTTTTTTGTCATGCTATGACTATATATATATTCGAGTTGGTTTAACCAAACCTAAAAACGGTTCGATGTAAAATTTACTCAAATTTGAAACTAAAATTGTACCAAACCTTACCAAAGTTGGATTTCTTTATTTAACCGTAAAGTCAAAATTCGAACGAAAAACGAATCGAGCATATCTACTTTAAAAAATAGTCCATATAAAATTATAAATGTATATATATTGCCATGATTTTGAATCATCATATTACGTGAAAGCATTAGTGTAGTCATGTCACTAATTGAGTAATTGTCAATTGCTTGTAAACGTGGAGCAAGCTATCTAACGTAATAATATATGTTTGAACAGGTGTATACAGCGTTATCTTCTTTGGAATAATATCATATATTCGTTTTAGTTATAGAAAAACCTTAAAAAAGATTTGCAACAAATTTCATACAAATAAATTGATCTTATCTCAAATAATAATATAGTCGATAAAGAGCCACGTATAGGTATAGCTCCGAAATTGACGGTCATATCATATGCGTGTTACCACTTACCAACTAAAAATATAAAATACATGATTTCAGATCAGAATTATGGATTGATTTGTTTTTTAAAGTATTTTCTTAGTCGTCGAAGCGTCTTAACATGGAGGTCTACTAACTAAAACCGTGCATTTATTATATCACGTTATGCACTTAAGTTGTTAAACAAATCTAGATGATTAAATATAGCGGATTACTGCATAAAATTAAATAATAAACTTGGTTGGCATATTATTCTGCAGGTTTACATATGTATTGAAACTATAGTATAATTTTACCAAAAAAAAAAGAAAAAGACTAAAGTATAATCCATGAAGATACGCTTTTTACAAAATGGGTTTCAAGAGTTCATCTTTATTTCGTTTATATAGGCCAAATTTCTCATGTACTTGTTTCTACGTCTCTCTCACACAAAGTTTAAATAATTGTTTGACGTTGACGAAATTAAATTAGTTAATTATGTGACTCCTTTTCACTTCTTCTTACATAATTAGGAATTGTTTAGCTATACCGTCTTCTCATGTGCATTTGCATTGGAAACATAGACGAAAATCTAAAAAAATCTCTGTCAATTTATTGTCTTTTCCAAATTGTCCTATTGAATCAACTAACTTTTTTATTTTATTTCAGATAATCGAAACGTTGTTAATATTTTATAATTTTGTTTAGTGTTCTGATGTATGCTTTAAAAACCTGTCTCTAGGCTCTGTTCTTTGTTTTCTTCTCAAGAAGAAGCCTCATTACCAATTCTCTAAATTGCGGGGTTCAATGAATAGATCGTGTCTCTGTAGTGTCTTAATCACTACTGCTTTGATTTGTGGTGCTTACTTCATTGGCAATGCTTATCTTGCTAAAGACTTTAAAGAGGTAAATGTCTTTTGTGTTTGACATCAATTAAGCTCTATTTATGCTCTATGTTACTGTCTTTTTAGTTGGATTGTTCAGCTGTTTTTTTTTGTGTAATCAGTAGTGTTTTTCCGACATGTGAATAACATGACATTGTTGAATAGTTCTGGTTTTATAGTCAACGATAGATTAATAAGTCTATTAACACAATAAAGTATTCGGATTTTGATTTTTAAGATTTATAAATTTACAGAAATTGTTGAGATGGGAAATCACTGATAAGATGCATAACATCACTGATAAGATGCAGAATGCAACATCAACCAGTACATGCGAGGTTTGTCTTCGAAGTATTCTTTTAGGTTGTTTTAGGAGATTCTTTGATATTAAACTTTACAAATACATATATATCTTTCACTAGAATTTCAATAAGCCGATGGGTTCTGAAGCACTACCACAAGGAATTATCGCGAAAACATCGAACCTGGAAACACAACATCTATGGATCTACGATGACACAAAAAAGGTTGTTAAGTTAGTTACAAGATTCCTCAAAGATTTGTAAAATTTCACGGTTTTTTTTTCTTGTAGCTTAATCTTTCGTTGTATATTTCATTCAGAAAAGGCCAAACCATTCGATAAGTTTGTTAGCCATGGCAGTCGGAATCAAGCAAAAGGAGCTAGTTAACAAAGCTATCCAAAAGGTTTTGTTTTGTCTTATGATTGTTTCCATCAGTAAGATTTTTGCCTTTTGTTTCGATCAATTATACAAATTTCGGTGATTTCAGTTTCCTCCTCGAGATTTTGCGGTCATGCTTTTTCATTATGATGGTGTTGTCGACGATTGGAAGCAGTATCCATGGAATAAGCATGCGATTCATGTTTCCGTGATGAATCAAACAAAATGGTCGGTTTTCTTGAAATTACTTGTTACTATTTTCGCCAACCATCATATATTATCTTACAATTGAATATATATGGTTAATGTCATAGGTGGTTCGCCAAGCGATTCTTGCATCCCGATATAGTTGCTGAGTACGAGTATATATTTCTTTGGGACGAAGATCTTGGTGTAGATCATTTCAATCCTCAACGGTAATCCACCAAATATAGGATTTAAATCTTCTAAATCTTTTTTTATTTTTCATTTCCATGATGAAATCATTTTACTTTAGATACCTATCTATTGTCAAAGAAGAAGGGCTTCAGATATCACAACCCGCTCTCGACACTACAGTATCAGAAGTGTATCATCCTATAACCGCTCGTCGACAAAAATCAAAAGTTCATAGAAGGATGTATAAATACAAAGGTGGCGCGCGATGTGATGACAATAGCACCAATCCTCCCTGCATCGGGTAAACGCTTTTGCAAATGGCGGAAATGTTCTCGAAACTCTCTTTCACTTTCCCGGTTAACATGTAACTAGGATCCGCAGGTGGGTAGAAATTATGGCACCTGTTTTCTCTAGAGCAGCATGGAGGTGTTCTTGGTATATGATTCAGGTAACATTTGTGTATATATATATATATCTCAGCATTCGATTTTTGTTCCTTTAGTCGATAGAATTCGGTTTGTCTTTGGGGGTTTAATGTTTTCGATTTTGTTGCAGAATGATTTGATCCATGCTTGGGGTCTGGATACGCAGCTTGGTTATTGTGCTCAAGTTGGTTTCTTCTTCTAACTCTTTTTTTTTTTTAAGCCCTCAACTTCCTTTCATTGCACGGTTTTTATTAACATGTTATTGGTCGCGGTTAGGGTGATCGAAAGAAAAATGTTGGTGTTGTTGATGCGGAGTACATAATTCATTACGGTCTTCCAACGCTCGGTGTGGTTGAAACAACTTCAAGCTCCTTGCGGAATGAAACAGACCCGAAATCAACGGTACGCTCTACTAGTGTTTTCAATATGTTTCTTGAAGCAGTTATGTTTTATATGTAGTTGTATATGAAATCATTTGGTTGAGATTTCACAGGAATCATTAGAGTCTCGTAAAGTGGATTATAGACCAGAAGTGAGGATGAAATCTTCGGTAGAAATGAAGAGATTCGTAGAACGTTGGGAAAAAGCTGTCAGGGATGATAGATGTTGGGTCGATCCGTATTAAAACCTGAGCGGTTTAAGTAAACCGAATCAAACCGGATTATGTTCCTTTTTGAGTATGATTTGTGGTCCATTGTATACCATTATTTGGTCAATAGATAAATCATTAAATTATAGGGAGACTCACAAAAATGCCCCTTTTTCAATACCCCTTTTCAAAAATGCCTCTTTTGGCTGTCCATTTTTAAAAATACCATTTTTTATGTACAAAATGACTAAATTACCCTTCTTTTAATAAAAGATATCACAAATATATAAGGAAATATAACAAAATTAGGTCCACAAAATACAAAGTGAATGCACAATTTTTTTGGCGTTAAATTTTTGGCGGGAAAAATTTACAAGGTATTTTAAAAGTTTTTTACAGGGTATTTATAAAGTTTTACAATGTATTTTAAAAGGTTTTACAACGTATTTATAAGGTATTTATAAGATATTATAAGATTTTACAAGCTATTTTATAAGGTTTTACAAGTTATAAGGTTTTACAAGTTTTTTATAAGGTTTTACAAGTTATAAATACCTTATAAAACCTTATAAGTACCTTGTAAATACTCTGTAAAACCTTTAAAATACTTTGTAAATTTTTCCGCCAAAAAAATTGCGAAATCATTTTTCCCGCAAAAAAAATTTTTTGGCGGGAAAAATTTTTACGGGAAAATTTTACAAGGTATTTTAAAGGTTTTTACAAGTGTTTTGGCGGAAAAATTGCGGGATCACTTTTCCCGCCAAAAAATATTTTGTATTTTGTAGACCTAATTTTGTTTCAAATAAGGGTAGAATGGTCATTAAAAATTAAAAGGGGCAAACTTAAAAATGGACTCTCAAAGGGGGCATTTTTTAAAAGGAGTATTGAAAAAGGGGCATTTTTAACAATTTCTCTAAATTATATGACCAAAAATTATTCCATCACTTTACTTGACATTTACACTTAAATTAATAGAAAATAATTAAAAATATGTTTAGCATTTACAATTAATTATAAAATAGATTATTAAAAAAATTCTTTATTATCTAATTAGATGAATTATTTAAACAAATAAACCATGTTTTACTATAATAATAAAAAGACTAAAATTGTATAATCCATGAACATGGGTAAAATAGTTCATCTTTCTTCCATATAGGCCAAATTTCTCATGTACTTGTTTTTACATCTCTCTCACACAAAGTTTAAATGATTCTCAATTTGACCGTCACAATATTCGGTGAAATTTTTGATAATTTGTTGTACATGGTACATATGATTGTACAGCTGCAGAATAGCCAAATGTACAATACGTAATAATTGCCGTATAATGTTAAAGTATGAAC